ATAGGTTTTGAAGGAGGCAAGGGTGTGCGTGTGGCGGACAGGCTCTGGGATGGAGTTCCAGAGGGTGGGGGCAGAGAGGCTGAAGTCCCAAATGCTGATGGTGATGCGGGCTGGGAACATCAAGCAGGCCAAAGGTCTGCCAAGCGGAGGGAACGCACAGATCGGGATGGAGTTAGCAGGTCATTGTTGGAAGGGAATGCACACTCTCTCCCTAGAACCTCTCAGCATCCTGTTTACCTAATCTCGGAAAGTATTAGGCGCAGGTTGGCAAGAGCCAAGGCTTGGAGGGGCCCAGATGTGTCGGCGTAGCCGTTGGAGTCTAACCAGCTGAAGCCGCGTAGATTCTGGCTACATTTGTGATGTTACATGTGAGCTGAATGAATGTGTCCCTTGCCAAAGCCACTGATCTAATGCCCGGGCAAATCCTTGCTGCGCGAACCTGATTAGTCTCCTCTCCACTATAACACTGTTTACAAAGCCAGGTACGAGACAATTGTGAATTACAGTTCACAATGCCTCATTTCCTGTGGAAGATTAACTGATGAAATCGATAGGTTTTGATAGAGAGACGCAAAAGAAGGAGGGGTATCAGATTCCAATTGAAGTGGAAAATTGAGCAACGAAAGATGCCCTCAGATACGCCAAGGCAGCAGAGGAAGAGGGTAATCGTGGAGGGTAATTTTAGAATCCTGTAGCTCAGTGGTTAGAGCACTCACTTTGCAAGCGAGAGACCTGAGTTCAATTCCAGGCAGAGGGCGAAACCTTGGGCAAGTTTCCTTACTCCACACAGAGCCTAATAATAATCCCTCCAAAACAAAACAATAATAAATGGGTCATTTTCAATCCACGACTGTTTGTGGGACGCTGCTGTGCGCAATTGGCTGCAGCGTTTCGCCCACAAATATACGGTCAATTCACTTTACAGCATATTCCGTGAAGCGCTTTGAGACGTCGAGAAGACGTGAAAAGCACTATATCAAATGCGAGGATTATTTTTATTATTATTAGGAACCCGGTTATTAGTCGATTGGCGGATCGCTTTTCCCATTTAATAATCCCATTAAAAAAACAAATAATTTGGTCACTTCATTCCACGACTGTTTGTGGGACTGCTGTGTGCAATTGGCTGCCGCGTTTCACCCACAAAATATAGTCAATTCACTTTACTGTGAAGTGCCTTGAGACGTCTATCAGCCATGATAAGGCGCTATATCAAATGTAAGGATTATTATCATAATAAGAGTCTGCATTCGCAAGTTGTGGCCTCACAACAACAATGACGACAATAACAACACCAGAACAAGACCAACAGGCCTTTTTGTAGGTCCCTTCACACGGGTATCATCTTTAATCCTCATTGACAACCGGCACAAGGCTACCAGAATGGCATTGGTGCTGATAAGGCAGCAAATCCTTTTATACCAGTGATGATGATGCTAATAATAATCCTTGCGTTTGATTATAAAGCCGTATCACTTTGTCGGGACATCTTAAAACACGTCACATAATATATTGTGAAGTGCAGTGACTACATCTTTTGTGGGTGAAACGTGGCAGCCAATATTGTACAGCAGTGTCCCACAAACAGTGATGGATTGAGTGATCCAATTTTTTTTTGGGGGGTTGGGGGGCATGGGAGGGGGAGTTACCCCCAGAAAGCAATCCACCAATCGCCAAACAACCAGATTCCTAGTTAATGCTAGTAAGCAGAGGCGTGCGTTCAGCGTAAGGAAACTAGCCTAAGGTTTCTCCCCGCCTGGGAATCAAACCCAGATCCTCTGGCTTGTGAGGCGAACATGCTAACCACAACACTCTTGGGCTCCACATGATGCGTCAAGTGTGTGTGGGTGGGGGAGGGATGATGGAGGAGGGGAGCACGGGTGAGCTAAAATGCTGAAAGATAAAGTTCCCCCCTGAAACATCCGCATCTAAAAAATCCAGCTTCCTGAAGAACACTTTCGTTCCCTTTATTTCAATTCACGTGCAATTGACTAAATGCGTCTTAAATGTAGTCTTAAGTTTAGAATTCAAGGCAACTGCCTTTAGAATTCAAGGAAGCTTCCAGACTGTACATTGCTCGGGAGTCAGAGTGAAACTCGAGTGTACAAGTGAAACTTGCGATCAGCAGCAAAGAAAAATACAATAAGTGAGGGAGTTTGGGAGGATCTTACTTACACGGTGGGTGTTTAGGGTATGAAAAAGCAAGAGACCAAAAGCGATGGTGGAAGTAGAATGTGCCATAGCTTTTAAAAGGGTATTGGACAAATATTTGGAAAGGAAATATCACGGGAGTGTGGAAAAGGTCAGGGGAGCAGGCGATCTCTTTCAAAGAGATGGCAGAGGCACAATAGGTCATTCTGTGCTGTAAACATCTACGATTCTATGTTAAATTCATCCATAGACATCGACATGCAGACACACACACACACACTTTTTAAAGGATTATTATCGCCGGAAAGGGATCCACCAATCGACTGACTGCAAGGTAACAGAGGCGTGTGGAGTAAGGAAATTTGCCTGAGGTTTCACCCAACCCGGGTCCCCTCGTTTGCGAGGGGAGCTGTCTAACCACTAAACTATGGAACTCTTGAGAATTATTTTTGGTGCTGTTGTAATAATAATAATAATAATCCCAGCATTTGATATAGCGCTTTTCACGTCGGGAGGACGTCCCAAAGCGCTTCACAGAACACACTGTAAAGTGAATTGACTGTATATTTGTGGGCGAACGCGGCAGCCAATGGCGCACAGCAATGTCCCACAAAGTGTCGTAGATTGAAAATGACCAATTTATTATTGTTTTTGGTTTTGGAGGGTTATTATTAGGCTCTGTGTGGAGTAAGGAAACTTGCCCGAGGTTTCGCCCTCTGCCTGGAATTGAACTCAGGTCTCTCACTTGCAAAGCGCGTGCTCTAACCACTGAGCTACAGTAATCCAGTTGTGTGAGACAGAGAGAGAGAGAGACTTTCCGAAGGATAGTTTAATCCAAGCAGATCCCAATTCCAGACATTCCAAACTCCAGCGTGTGATATATTAAGCCGCCAGTGAGTGAGACCCGCTACCCGGGATGAACGGACCCGTCTGTCTGCAATGCCGACAAACAGCGAGACGTTTCAGTTTCGATGGAAACGAAGGGTTAACCCCAGCCGGGCAAAGGCTCACTACATACATTTTCAACAAACAACTTGTGTAAGGGCTGTGTTTACCCTGTGGCCGGATTCAATGACCTCAAGCATCGGGGGAGAGAGCTTGCCACTTACTGCGGCAACAACACCGACCTGTATTTAGTCGCCCCGGTAAAGGGTTCAGAGAGGAGACTTTGGACAAGTTTCCAGTCTCTTGCGCTGGAGAGAGACAGGACTTGCTTCCCTTTGAAGGAGCCAAGAATCAACCCCCTTCTTTCACCTTTAAGAACGCTTGCATTACAGCCCCGTCCGAACGAGATGTCAGAACGCCTCAACAGGCAATGGCGGCCAAGTGTAGTGACTGTGTGTTCGTAGGCAGTCAGTTTGTCCATGGCCATGTCCCACACATAGCCGTGAAGAGACCGTCTTATGTATCCCATTTACCTTTCCGGTTGTCCCAACAAAATAAATGCTTCTCTATCGGATATTTCTTCATTCATGGCCTAAGTCTATGCTACTCTGTTGTTTCGGTGATATTTTGTTGGCTCGACTCGCAAGCGAGAGGACCCGAGCAGGGCAAACCCACAGGCAGGTTTCCTTACTCCACATACCTGTTTACCCAGCAGTAATTCGGAACCCGGTTGTTAGTCGATTGGCGATCGTTTTCCGGGGGTAATAATCCCTCAAAAAAAAATCGAGTCACTCAATCCACGACTGTTTGTGGGAACACTCACTGTTGTGGGCAATTAATTGGCTGCTGCGTTTCGCCCACAAAATACACAGTCAATTTACTTTACAGTGTATTCTGTGAAGGGCTTTGAGACGTCTCAGCGATGTGATAAGGCCATGTATTAAACACAAGGTTTATTATTATTCTCTCCTCCAGTCTGTGCACTGTGTTTGGTTACAATCCTACTTTCCCCTTCTCGGTCAGCACAGTGAGTAGCCCAGCCCTTGGCACTGAAACAGCAGAGAGTAACTTGCCGAGAGAGAGAGAGAGAGAGAGAGAAACAGCAGCTTTCCAAACTTCCCCTCTTTCTCCCTAGAGCAGGGAAGAGTAACACACACCCCCACACTGAAAGCCAGAGTACGAGTTCCTGTCCTCTCAACACAGGGTCTCTTCGAGGCTACGGGCGGTGACTCTCAGCTTGTTACCTCATTGGGATGTGTTGGTCAGACCAGGGGACATTGGGCGGATAACTTTGGATGAATCACTGCCCTGTGGTCTGGGTTTCTGGCTCTTGCAGACTTTTGTCTGTTTATGTGGTAGCGTGTCTCGGTGTGGGCAGATTTGGGCAGCAGCCTTAATGTTGCTGTGTGTGAGCGTCAGAGAAGCCCAGGGCTGTTTGGCTCCTTCGGGGTGGCCTACAAATTCACACTCGCTACGTTTTACAGCCGTTGCCTGCCTCTGAAATGCTTTGGACTCGTGTTAATAATAATAATCGTTGCGTTTGATATAGCGCCTTATCATTCCATTGAGACGTCTCGAGGCCCTTCACAGAATATACTGTACAGGGGAATATGTGGGTGAAACGCGGCAGCCGATTGTACAATAGCAGCGTCCCACAAACAGTCGTGGATTGAGTAACGATTTTTTTTGTGGTGGGTGGGGGTGATAATTACCCCAGGAAAACGTTTCACCAATTGACTAACAACCGGGTTCCTACTTACTGCTGGGTAAACAGAGGCGCGCCTGTGGAGTGAGGAAACTTGCCTAAGGTTTCGCCCCGCCCGGGAATCGAAGCCGGGTCCCCTTGCTTGCGAGTCGAGTGCTCTAACCGTCCTCCCGACGTGAAAGGCGCCGTTTAAATGCTATTTGTGGTTGTTGCTGCTGTTGTTGTTGATGTTCTCCTCTCGTGTTGTGGGCCGCCCCAGGTTCGACAAGGCAGGACGATCAATGTGAACCATTACGCCAACAAGAAGAGCGCGGCGGAGAGCATGCTGGACGTGGCCCTGCTCATGGCCAACGCCTCGCAGCTTAAGGCCGTCATCGAGCAAGGCTCCAACTTCAACTTCTACGTGATCCTCATCATCCTCATCAGCATCTCCCTCATCTTCCAGATCATCGTGGGCATCTTGTTAATCTTCACCGGTAAGCTCCCCTCTTGGCTTCTACTGTGACGTAAGGAAAATCCTCCCTCACCAATGATACCGTTTCTCATTTGGGTCTTAACTTGAGTTGGTTCTTAACCTTGTTCCTGACTTGCGTGAATGAGGCGGTGGGAGTTTGTCGGAGGGGCTGGGTAGGGCCAAGTGTGGGGGCAGGTGAATATGTGGCGCAACCTCCTTCCTGTAACCTCTGGGCAGGAACTCCGCTCTGACCTGGTTACGGGTTGACAGGAGCTATAACCAAGATTTCGTACGGAGCAAACCCGTTAAGAAATATCACAGTTCAGGCGTCCTTAAACGGGCTTCGTAAACCACTCTCCCTGGCGCAACCCTGGTGTGGAACCAGGAAGAAGTTTTTCACGCAAACGGTAGTGGAAATCTGGACCTCGCCCTCTCCCTCAAAAGGCTGTGGATGCTGGATCCATTCGTATTTTCAAGCCTGAGGTTGCTGGATGTTTGTTAGATTTGTTTGTCAGGGCATCAAGGGATATGGGGCAAAGGCGGGTAATTGGAGTTGAGGTACAGATCAGCCGGGATCTAACAGAATGGTGGAACGGGCTCGAGGGGCTAAATTGTCTACTCCTTTTCCAGTCATATTCCAGTCATTAATTACCCGCTGGGTAAGGAAAAACTTCCTGGTGTCTGTTATGAAATCGCCCCGTTTGCAAACTCGAAATCCGTGCCCTCTTGTTCTGCTGTCTCGCTGCGGCTGAAAGTATTGTTTTGGGTTTGACTTTTTCCCGTCCCTTTCTGACCTTTGCTCTCTGTCTCTCTGTCTCACGCACAGTGAAAACCAATCTGAACGATGTGAGTAAACAAGCCAAACTCGACACCGTCAACAACATCACCACCGGCCTCGTCTTCGTTATCGTCATCGTCAACATCTTCATCACTGCGTTCGGGGTGCAGCGACCACCGTTGCCGTCAACCGCGTCACAGTCACGTTAGCGGCAGATTGGGTTCAGGTAGGACAGAGAAAGAGAGAGAGAGAAAGAAAGAAAGAAAAACCCGCACACGATAATTAAGTGGAGCCTTGTAGCTCAGCGCACTCACCTCCGAGAGGACCCGGGTTTGATTCCCAGTAAAGACAACACCTTACCCAACCTTCCTTACGCCACACGCCTCTGTTTACCTCGCTGTAAGTAGGAATTCGGTTGTTAGTCGATTGGTGGGTCACTTTCCGGGGGGTAATAATCCCTCAAATAAAAATATTGGGTCACTCAATCCACAATTGGTTGTGGGTCACTGCTGTGCTCAATTGGCTGCCGCATTTCGCCCACAAAATACACAGTTACTCCACTTTACAATATATTCTGTGAAGCGCTTTGAGACATCTCAACGACGTAATAAGCCACTGTATCAAATGCCAGGAATACTATTATAATCCTTAATGCACATCTCCATTCCCTATCTTTCCAGCTCACAGTGAAACTTCCTGAAACTCAGTGTCCAGGGACTTCTCTGGCACAACTTTGGGATTAGGACGAAGAGGGTTCCTGCACATGAGAAGACCTCAGAAATACTGGAACTGTAGAGGTTCCTCAGCTAGAAACCTTACCATTTACTCTCTCTACCAATGACTCAAGAGCCACATATCAGTATTTATAACAGCATCTTTCTCTTCTGCCAAGGCGTTTGCTGGGATCACTAACACGCAGAAAAGCCATCTGTCTCTCTCCATTAACCCGAGTTATCTTATTCCTCGTAGAACCTATAGCACATTAGCAAGATTCTTCCAGAAAGTGAAGGGCTCACCCATTAAAACATCAGCTGGTGCAGGCAGATCAGAACAAGATGCTTAGAAGTCACTCTGACCAATAAAGAGTGTTGCCTTTTCAAAGTCTATCCGAACAACGGCCTCAGCTTCAATACTGCAGCAGCACTTGGAACGCACTGGATTTCTGGGCTATCGATCCATCAGGTGATTGATCACAAGGCACCGCCTCTCCTGGTTCTGAGACTGAGAATGTGGGATAGTCGACTCAGTGAGTGAGCAAGCGAGCGAGCTGGTTTGTGTGAGCGCGGGAACGTCGGAGTAGGTTATTCAGCCCCTCGAGCCTGTTCCGCCATTCTATTAGATCACGGCTGATCTGTGCCTCATCTCCATGTATCTGCCTTTTCTCCGTATCCCTTGATACCCTGACCTAACCAAAATCGATCCGCCTCAGTTTCGAGAATTTGAATGGATCTAATATCCACAGCCTTTTGGGGGGAGGGAGAGAGTTCCAGATTCCCACTCTCCCTTGGGTGAAAAACTGCTTCCTGATTTCGCTTCTAAATGGCCTCGCTCTAAGATGACATCCCCCCACCCACAAGGGGAAATAGTTTCTCTGTAGCTACCCTATCGAATCCCCTTTAAAAACATTTTAAACACCTGATTCAGATCACCCCTCAACCTCTCCAATCGGTTTCCAATTTTAAAGTCGTTAAATACTGTTCAGCATCCATCCACCCAGTGAACAGATGGAGGCTATGAACCCTGTTCCACCCAGTCTATTAGATCTCGACAGACCTTTACATGCACTGCCCTTTCATCCGAACCCTCAATATATCTGGAATGTGCGAAACTGAGCTTTACTGTTCCCATTAACACGGAGAATATACAACTGTAATGGCAATATTTATAATGTGACTTTGTAATACTTGCATAAGTCTGATTCTGTATAAATCATATAATCAGCTGAGTAGTACATCTGCCCACGTCTCATTCAAGAATTTATGTTCTATGCAAGTTTGACATAACTCATACTTTGCATAAGTCATATTCCCAACTGATATGGCTTATGTGAAATTTACTGTGCTCTTAAGGATGAACCCCCAATTCAATGTACTCCTAGCCTTAAGACCACAGCACCTTTAAAATTTAAGTTGCCGGCACTCCACAAATAAATCTTGTGAGTCTCTTTCAAGAAATGTTCTCCTGACTTGAAAGGCGCTGTGTGAAATGCAAGTATTGTTAATAAGAGGAATAATAATAATAAACAGTAATCTGAAGGTGCTATTTTCTAAGAAACATCGGCTTGTAATCAGCTTGTAGGTAGCTTTGCTCAGTTCCTTGTGACGAAAGGAATAGACAAACACACCAACTGCTTTCAGTGTAAGAAGTCCTCGTTGATTAGTGCAAACTAATGCTTATAAATGCTTATAAATCGTTCCAATACGTAGACTAAAGTTTCACACTCGGTGTGTTAATAGAATGTTCTTATCACATTACTTATTACATTATTACCTGGTGCAGTGCTTCCACTTTGAACTGCACTTTGCAAAAACTAATGGGTAAATTGCGGGTCCCGTTAAGCAATATAAACAAGAATTTTATATACACACACACACACACAGACGTGAAACACTCACACGCATGCACGGACACACAGACAGACACACACAAATCTCTACGTTACATTCCTCAATACCTAAGTTTTCTGCGGCTCAAAGTAGCCCTGGACAGCAGAAAAGACTGGATAGACCCAACGCTGTGCCTTGCCTGTGAATCTCTCTGCAGGACCACTTCAGTTACATAGCCTGCGATTCAATGATTTAGTGACTGAAGGACTCGGTGTGCGATTATAACGGTATGGTACACAGAAACTGCAAAAATGTTTTGGTAAAGTTATTCTCTGTGACTACTGTTTTGAACTTTACTGTGTTTTTTACGAAATATTTGCACTTGACAAATGAAATACTTAAAAATAAATGTGTGTAAAAGTGTGTAAATAAAATATACGTCTATCCTGGATGATTTTTTTCCCCCCTCCTTGGGTTTTCTCTTCGCAACGACGACGGCAAAAACAACAACTTGCATTTATAGAGCGCCCATCACGCGGGGTAGCGTCCCGGAGTGCTTCAACTTGGCGTAAGGCCGTGAGACTTCCAACTTATATCCCGTGAAGTGCTTTGGGACGTCTCAACCGTGTGATAAGGCGCTGTGTCAAATGCAAGATTATTGTTGTTATAACTTGCTCGCGGAGCTCAGAGCAGCTCCAGCAGGTCAGCCTGATGTATTTCCTGTTTACCGGAAGCAATTCCGCCCCCCGCCCCCCCCCCCGCCACCCCCATCTCGGATTGCCTGTTAAGACAGTTGTGATGTAGTAAAAGCCAGCTATATCTTGAGGCCAGTCTGACTCCCGACGTGCAAGCACAGCACTGTGCAAATTTCCTCAGAAGCAATGCGGCACAGTCCGGAGCAATTGCCGCAGAAGCTAAATTTCTCCACCCAGTGGAGCAAAAGGGAACAGCCCTTACGATCGATCCGTTGCGTGAGATGGACGGTGAGTCACATAAAGCGTGGAACAACAATAATAATAATCCTTGCATTTGATGTAGCGCCTGATCACGTCGTCGAGAAATGTGCATTTTGTGGGCGATACACGGCAGCCAATTGCGCATAGCATTGTCACACAAACAGTCTTGGATTGAATGACCACATTTATTTTGGGAAGGATTATTTATACCCGGAAAGCGATGTGCCAATCGACTAACAACCGGATTACCTCTGGGTAATCAGAGGTGTGCGGAGTCAGGAACTCGGCAGCTCTCTGTAGACCACGGGATCCAGTTTCTCGTAGACAGTGTAGAAGAGCTGACAAGCTTTCTCTCCCTTCTTCAGCAAAGCGTTCACCAGCTCAGTGACCCGCCCGTACAGGGCATTGGCGTCGTTTAATAACTGCGAGGTCAAAGGCAAGAGGAAGCCATCAGAACAAGCACAAGTAAACAGCTCAGGCAAAAAAAAGAAGGTTGATTTTATCAGGAACCACCCTCTTTATTGTGTGTGCGGAACTCTTTAACTTACCAATTTTCGCCCCGTAAAATACGCAGTAAATTCACTTTGCCGTAAAAACTGTGAAGCGCTTTGAGACGTCTCAACGACACGATAGGGCGCTTTATCAAACGCAAGGATTATGATTATTATTGTTATCGAAAGCAGCTTTCGAAGTAGATATTTTGGGGAAACAAACAATTGCAACACCCAATTTTTGATGCGTGTGATATTTATCACACTCGGTTGGATGGACTGGGAAGCTGTCAGGCTACCCCCCCCGCCACCCCATCCCGGAAAAGAATCTCAAGGGTTAACTCCGAGATATCATGGCTTCTGGTTGCCTTTGTTGCCGTCAATAAAAAGCATCACCTCAACACCTGGGTCTGAGATCACAAGAGGAGTTTGGAGTTAAGGTGACATCGGAGGTCCTGTTTGCTCATGCACAGGATACAGGAAGCGACATCCGTGGTGACCCTATTGCCTGGAAGTCGGTCATTTTTGCAGTTCGAAACAAATAGAAAACCTGTAACTGCTCCCCCCTCCACCCTTCCCCCCCCTCCCCTTTCCCCCTGGGGTAACGATGGGCGAGAAAATTGAAAATCCTGATCAATACTGATATTTACCGACTGAAACTGGCAAACAATTATCGTAGCCCAACGATTTGAACAGCAAACCACCGATAGGTTACACCTTTGGCCGTCAGTGGAATGCTGGCACTACCTGTTCAGCCTCGACTCTGTTGAACACGGGAGGTCTGGGGTCTCGGAGTGCGTTCACCACTTGGGTCAGGATGTCCTCGTTGATGCAGCCACTAGTTATGAAGTGCAAACGATCAGCCTTCAGCTTCCTTATGTAGATGTCTGAACGAGAGACAGGGATTTACAGAGAGTAACAAGTGGGCAGCACTGAGGGTTACAGTGGTGCTTTACCCGGCATGTCTCCCCACAACCATCCAACTATCACTTTCCCATTGCCCGTCGCTACACTGAGCCGTTCCTTAAATGTGCCCCACCACCCACGGGTACAAAAGGCTGCACAAAACCAGTTACCTTCACCTTGTTGGCAGAGCGGGGACAGTTTCCTTTTGGAGGCAGGGATTTTATTAACAAGATCGACCTCCTCACCTGAAATGGCACAGAACCCACAGTTCTGCGTTGATTGAGTTGCATTTTGAAACTTTTCACATCAACCCGAGCTCTTTAAGCATAAGCCAATAGTAGATTCCCTCCCTTGCTTCGCTGGGTAGAGATAGGAACAGGAAGAGCCTGTTCCGCTAATTCATTATCACGGCACATATTTTAATCCCATTTCCCTGGCTTTTGCCAGGACATCTCAACACCCTCACTGTCTGCACTGCGAGCTCAAAGTCCCTGACGTGGGGACTTCAACCGACAACCTTCTGACTCAGGAGGCTATCGTCAGAGCCAGGCTGATATCTACCCCCAAATAATAATAACAACAATAATAATACTGTTAATAACTTGGATTTACTTCACGTCGGACAATCAAGCCCTCCAACTGTCCACCCACCCACCCATCTCCCTTTGAGAACATCCCAAACTGATTCTGTCTCTACTGTCCTCTGGAGCAGAAAGGTCCACTCACCCAACCCACCCACCCACCCACCCGCTCCCTCTCACCGCCTTCCGTGTGAAGAGACATCGGTCTTTATACCTCTCTCCCTGCGGCTCGGAAGCTCTTGGTACACGGAGCAATCAAACTTTTCTAACGCGGTGTAGAAATGTCTGCAGCTTTCTTCACCTTTGCACTGCAGGTTAGTAAGAAGGATGGCCGCACGTTCGTGCCTCTCCATTCTGTAGTTCCTCAGCTGTGAAAGCAACAGACAACATCCCCATAATATCATTCCGCTCGGTAGCATTCCGCACTCGTATCTTAAACAGAAGAGGAATCCCGTAGTGTAGTGGTTAGAGCGCTCGCCTCGCAAACGAGAGGACCCAGGTTCGATTCCCGGGCTGGACGAAACCTAAGGCAAGTTTCCTTACTCCACACACACGCGCCTCTGTTTACCTTGCAGTAAGTGGGAACCCGGTTGTTAATAATAATAATAATAATAATAATCCTTGCATTTGATATAGCGCTTTTCACGTCGGGAGGACGATTAGTCCATTGGCGGAAAGCTTTCCGGGGTTGATAACCCCTCCAAAATCCACGACACAAAATCCAGTCACTCAATCCACGACTGTCTGTGGGACACTGCTGTGTCGCCCACAAAATACACAGTCAACGCATTTTTACAGTGTATTCTGTGAAGCGCTTTGAGACATCTCAATGACGTGATAAGGCCCTGTATCAAATGCAAGGATTATTATTATTATTAATAAACATAAGAGCCTTGCTGTCACCTGGTCGGTTTCCATGCTGTTGAGGACAGGAGGATCCAAGGTCCCCAAATAAATAATGATCTGGTCCAACAAGGTTTCGTGAAGACTTCCCTGGTTTGTTAGGAACAGTCTGTCCTGTCTCAGAGAATCTTTCAACCGTTTCCCTGCGGGAGAAATTGACAAATGTCTTGATTTCACGACCCAGAAAAATCTCTCGGTACCTAACGTAGTTTTACTCAGTGCCACGTGCCCAACACTGAACTCCACGCTGATCAATAATAATAATAATAATCCTTGCATTTAGTATAGTGCCTTATCACATTGTTTTGACATCTCAAAGGGCTTCACAGGATATACAATAAAGTGAGTTGACTGTGTACTTTGTGGGCAAAACAAGAACAATAATAATCATCTGGATAATACACCCTGCATTTGATCTTGTGTCTTATCACGTCCAAACATCTGAAAGCATTTCACAGGTAATTGCTTTCAAGTGCAATGGTTGGGGGATGGACGAGGGAAGAGTGGAGCGCAGAGAACCCAATGCAATCTCTTCAGCCTCTGGCAAATCGGAATAACATTAACGAGCAGGAAACTCTGGACTCCAAACTTCGCGGGCGTCTCAACATCCAGACTGATAAGGTTGTTTCCGCGTGTGTCGGACACCCGGCTGGGCAAAATATATTCACCCGCTTCACGAACTGCAACATCTTGGATCACTGCCAATTTCTAAGCAACCTGATTCTGAATAGCGACAGTCTCCTTTCCTCTCAACTAACCTCCTGAACTCTCCGACACAAACCCTACACGACACAGAATCGCAGCCACGTACCGTCCATCCTGGCTGTAGATTCTGCGACAAGCTCACACCAACTTCACTCTTCTGCTTTCTTTCTCTCGCTCTCTCTTTTTTCCCTCTCTTTCTCCTGCTAACACTCGCGCTGCGCTCTCTGCAAGCGGATTAGTTTGCTCCTGGCAAGACAGACAGAGGTGGAGCGAAACAACAGTAAAGAGAAAAGGACTTGCAATCAGAGAGAAGTTACAGTCAAGTTGCAGAGTGAATGCACTCCCTCCGCTCACCTCCTGATCTTTTTCAAATACGCAGTATATTTTCGCCCAGAAATATACAATCAATTCACTTTACAATATATTCTGTGAAGCGCTTTGAGACGTCTAGAAGACGTGAAAAGTGCTATATCAAATGCAAGGATTATTATTATAACCCATCTTGCTTAGAAATCCCCTACCCTGTTGTCAATAATGATAACAATATTTGTTATTTGATACACGCAAGAATTGGCACTTTCAATGTTTCAGAAATTCAATTATCACACACTTCTTATCAAGAAACCCATTAAGAAACACCGCAAGTTAGACCCTTACACATTCCCACTTCACGAGAGACCAATAATTAACGTTGGTGTTGAAAGATCTATTTGACTTGCCAGTTTCTCTTTGACGAGCCCATCAATGATGTATGTATGTGTTGAGGGAACATTAACAATAGACTACACTGAGATGGAATTACCCTCAAGAGGATGTGCGGAATGGTTTCTGCTCTGATGTCTCTTGGTTTAGGGTACACACCACAGGAAGTTGTCTTCTTGTCTTCCGTTCAACGGCTCAGACATGAATTCACCATTCATCTTCCAAGAGGCATTAAATCCTGCGCTCCACAACTCCGCCAGACACTCCTATCCCACCCACGCTCTCCGTCCCAAATCTTGGCATGTAAAGGAATGCCTTGCCAAAGTGCCACCCCCACTCCCCCTCTCCCCCAATGATAGAGATCTACAAGGTTTTGAGTCTTAGCATTGTAACAAGTGTCTCTCCTCCAAAGGACATGACACGGCTGGACATTGCCAACAAGAAATAATCAATTTTATTTTTTTAAAAAAACTTTAAAGGGGACAAGGCCATCAGCACATATTGTACAGTGAAAATATACACAATGATAGAGCGATGATAATAATAATAATCTTTGCATTTTGATATAGAGCCTTGTGCCTGCATCAGAACATCTCAAAAGTGCTTTGCAGCATTTACTGCAACATGTAGTGACTCTGTTTGGGTACACAAAACGCCTACGGATCTGTAGCTCATACCCTTCAATGGTTCAATGTTTTGCCATTTCCTGTGGAAAGTTTTACAGCACCTATTTTTGCTCAAGTGTGGCACGGTGGTTTACGATAATTAGGCAAACTCAAAGGCCAATTTGCATACAGCTAAGTCCCGCATACAGCCATGAAGTAAACGACCAATTTATCAGGGTGACTGATTGCCGGCGAGGATACCAGGAGAGACAGACTCCCTTTTTTCCCCCCCGATACTGTTGGGAACCTTAATGAATGTACAGCAGGGAGCTTTCAATTGAATACAGTTGTGATGGCATTCCTTCATTAATTATAGCCAGAAGCCAAAGCATCCCGATTCTTTCGCTGCTTATCCAGCTAGGACCACCCACCCTTACCCATTAGAGCTTTGGCTTGCAGGGTGAACGGGAGCTGAGTAGGATGATTCCCTGCTCCCCACCCCCCCCCCCCCCCACCCCCCTAGTGACTGGACTTCCAAGTCCTGCCAATGAATCAGCCTGGGCTATCCTGTCATCAGCTGTGGCCTGGAATACTGTGGCCTGGTTCAGAAACCAGACTAGCGCTCGATTCTGAGATTCTGTGACCTTCTGACTCACAGGAGAAAAGAAAAGTCAAGGGAGATCAAAGTGTGAGCTGCGCTTTCTTAGAAACCAACTCTGGTCTCAAAACTCTCAAGTCTCGTTGCAAAATCCCTGATACAACGAAGGCCGACAGCAAACCCAGCGCTTGGGGAGAGGGCAGCAACAAAACAACTCTTTTATACTTCAGTAAGTACCGTTAACTTTGACAGTTCGCAACTCAAAAGAAAAAGAAATACACACGAACAAAATAAAACCCCACAGAAACACTTTACAACCTCTCCCAGTCCCGTCACCGTACTCACACGGAACTACAGAGCAAGGGAAATATTATTAAAAGCTTCTCATCTATTAATAAAAAAAAACAGACTTGGCTAAATCGTCAGAGGACAAAGTGTTGCGACCTGAAGAGGCACACTGCTTGCGGTCGGTCGCTCCGCAGATCAGTTTGCAAACGGACAAGTCTGGAAAACAGTCACCGTTAATGTCGTTTCAGGAGCAAAGAGTGTTCTTTTCAGCTGTTTTTCTAAATATTTATATAATATTTTCTGCAGAATTATATACAAAAAAAACTTCCACATCTGGAGCTTTTTGTAGCCGCAACGTTTCAAACCCCGGGTGAAATCTGTTCCGTCTTGTGGAGTGTTCCTTGCAACGATTACCACAAGGAACGCCTTGCGAAATGCCGCAAATTTTACACCGATCGCTGTCAAAACACTGCCTGCGGCCGGATAATGATAATAATCTTTGCATTTGATATAGCGCCTTGTCCCATCATCGAGACGCCTCATGCATCGAAGCGCTTCACAGAATATACTGTGAATTGACCGCATATTTTGTGGCCGAAACGCGGCAGCCAATTGCGCACAGCAGCGTCCCACAGACAGTCGTCATTTGGGAGCAGCTAAGCAAAGAAGTGTCTGATCCACATCAGCCCCGAGATGTCCTTCATTCTCCTCAATCTTGGCTTCAATGGTAAAATAACAGCAATAATCCTTGCATGTTTGACACTGCAATGCAGTCGCTGTCAAGTGCAGTGACTGTGTATTTTGTAGGCAAAACATGACAAGATCATTTGTATCAAGGTTCCCCCCCACCCATACCCACACACACACACACACACACACACTGACACACAAACCAACCAGGAGGTGAACGACCAAATTACATGGACCAAATTGTTGGCTGGGCCATTGTGCAGTTTAATCCTGAGAGACAGCTTCACGTCAGCTTCGTCGAGTCAAGGTAAAGTCTGACTTTTCCGCGTCTTGTCTCACTGCGGGTGGAACAAGTGGACTCACCCCTGCTTGGAGCTCAGCCGGAATCTGCACCGCACTCTCCAGGCTGATGATTCACCTCCCCTCCAGCCCCCACTCCCTTTCCCCAATTCACAGAACGGTCAGACCTCATATGTTCACGTAGTTTTAGCTGGTTCGACTCCAGTAGCTACCTCAACACATACTCCCAAGATCCCCAAGCCTTGGCTCTTGCTGATCTGCGCCAAACACTCTCCTTGATAAGGTAAGCGTTCCTCTGGGAAGAGAGAGAGAGAGAGCGCTTTCCATTCCAGACACAGAGAAATTTCCACATGGAGGTGGCATACACATATGGAACTCCCATTCCCGGTTTGGTGACTCTTAAGCACGGTGATGGGTTTCCGAATGTGTCAGACACCCGGGTGACGAGAGAGACAAAAAACATCTGTGCAATACTCAAAACGCTGAAGGCTTAAACCATCATCGGGTTCACTCCCATTAACAGAGAAAGGGGAAGGACATTGGAATATAATTGCTCTTTGGTATGGGTTAGCTGCCAGCAGTGCGTGGGCACCAGAGGTAATGGCTTAGTTAATAAGGACGGCTTATGCTTTGCTTGCAACATGGTTGGGTTTTTGGTAGAGTCCCAGGCACCAGCCCTGAAAAGATAGCGATATGATAATAATGGGCGGCATCTTCTACTTCAAATATAAGTGCACGAAAATAGTTCTCTTTGGTACAGTTGGAAGAGCAGCACTGCGTAGTGTAGAGCCTCCCTGGGTGCGGAGGTAATTAGGCTTTAGCTATTAGCTCCCCTTGGTTTGATCTTCCAAATACGCCAGCAGGTATCTCCTCGCTTGCCTCCCCACTCCCAGGGTTGAGAAGCCCAAGATCTTCTTCGCTGTGCCTTCAAACTTAGTGTCTGTGAACACAGGCAGGAGTGGATCATAAGGTAATTTGCTTCATAACAACAATATTCCTCGGATTTGATACAGCGCCTTATCACGTTGTCGAGACGTCTCAAAGCGCTTCACAGGATATACTGTAATGGGGATTGACTGTGTACTTTGTGGGCGAGATGTGGCAGCCAATTGCTCACAGCAGTGTCCCTCCCACAAACAGCCGTGGATTGAGTGACCAATTTTTTTTGGGGGGTGGGAGGGTTATTATTATTACCCCGGAAAGCGATCTGCCAATCGATAAACAACTGGGTACTTACTACATAGTGCTGGGTAAACAGAGGCGTGTGGAAGAAGGAAACTTGATTAGGGTATCACGCTGCCTGGGAATCAACCCCAGGTCCTCTCGATTGCGAGGTGAGTGCTCTAACCCCTAAGCTATGGACTCGTTGACCTAACAACAATCCTCGCATTTGACAAAGTGCCTTTTACGTTAGGATTTAACTTCAAAGGGCAGCGACTATGCATCTTGTAGGTGAATGTAGAAGCCAACTATTGGCTTCAAGAACGTAGGAAAACAGGAAGAGGCCATTCAACCCATTGAATTCCCTTCTCTTTTCCAATAGAGTCAGGGGATCCTTAACAAATCTGCCTGAACAAGGAGAGTGGACCTCTGGTTTAACGCCTCGTCCTCGGACAAACCAATGCTCCCGCAGAACTGGACAAGTAAACATTTTCGCCTGTCCGCTGTGGGGTGGGGGTGGGGGAGAGGGGAGGTCGAAAGGGAAGCAGATGTGACTGAATTGAGTTCATCCCCTTTCCTATCCCAGCTCACAAACAACAACAACAAATTACATTCACGTCAAGAGGACGTCCCAAGGTGTTGGCCAGTCAGGGATTTGGATCCGAGCAGGAGGTTGGGATCAGGATGGGTGGAGTGCAGGGAAGGTAGGGGCAGGAGGGCGGCCAAAGGCGGAGTCGAAGAAGAGGATCTTGACACGTGCCTCGAAGGAGGCGAGTGAAGGAGCGAGGAGAAGGGATTGTGGGATGGAGTTCCAAAGGGTCTTCCAAACAGGGTCTTACCTTCCTTACAGTAATACATGAAGAGCGCCAATCCTGCTGCCACACTGAAGCAGGCCAGGAAGAACATGGGGTCTGAAAGCAAAGGTAACAGTCAGTGAGACGCAGAGCTTGTTATCACCAGATGATGATAACAATCCCCGCATTGGATACGGCGCTTTATCACATCGTTCCGACATCTCAAAGTGATTTTACCGAGCGTATAGAGCATATATACTATACGTATATAACATACAACAGTACACAGTACAATTTACGTTATATAATTCAACCCACGACTGGTTGTGGGACGCTGCTGCGTGCAATTGACCGCCGTGTTTCGATACATACCCGCAAAGCACGCAGGCAATTCACTTTACAATATCTTCACGTGAAGCGCTTTGAGACGTCGCAATGACACGATAAGGATTATTATTATTATTATTAATATTCCCACGCTGCAGCGTGGATGCATTTCCCAAACGCCGGAACAAATGCCGCAAAAACGCTGGTCCCTGGAAGCCATTCCTAGGTCGTGACGAATTGTGAGAGATTTAAGGAAAAATGTGCAGGGCTTTGGGGTAAGAGCGGGTGAGTGTGACTAGTTGGGCGGCTCTTTCAAAGAGCCAGCACGGGCACGATGGGCCGAATGGCCTCCTTCCGTTCTGTAAGATTCTATGATTCTAAAGAAAAAAATAAACAAGTTACCCCTGTTATTCAGAACGTATTTTTCTCTTTTGGGCCCATCCGAGTATATTGCTGGTGTTCTCGTTGATTCTGGAGGGAACAAAAGCGATCTACAGTTACCAGGGAAATTGTCCCCGTCTCTCGAGACTGGGCTGGATACTCAGAGGGCAGCTACCAATTAACTGAACACAAGCTCGTATCACGCAATCATAGAAATGACAGAACAGAAAGGGGACTGAGGGCATAGGGGGCGTTGGGGGCTAGGGCTAGAGAGGGCTCAACGCCCCCACCCCCACCCTACCCCCATCTATCGTTCACCAATTTTTATAATAAAAATAATAATAATCTTTTCTCCAGTTTAGGTTAATGGGATGGTGCTGGAAAGCGAGTGTGGAGGTCAGTGGGTTGAGTGAGTGGGAGTTGGCTCCAGTACCGATTGAAGGAGAGACAGCGAGAAAGAGAGGAGAGATACACACACACACACACACACACGTGGAGAACACAGCTCATCTGAGCCCACCCACCCCAAAGAACATTTTCAAACACTGCCTATGAGTAGGGGGGCGCGAGGGGGTGGGGCAACATTTGCCCACCATGTCTATACTGGTACAGTGTAGACTGCAGACTGCAGAATCCCAATCCCCTGCTCTTGTCCCAATTCACTTTTTGTGCCATTTGTCTCCACAAATACTTAAATTAATTTCTCCCCCTTTTTAATTGTATCACCTCACCACAGGGCAGCCTTTCAACAACCAGGATCACGTTGAGGGAAGTCGGCCTGGGGTCCTCTTTCCCTGTCGAGGGAGTAAGAATTAATGGGGAGACTTGCCTTCGGGGGACTTTCTGCTGGGCAGACTGGCGTAGACCTGGGCGTTGTTCAACTCCAGAGCGTTGTAGAATTCCTTACACGCTCGGTTGTTCTTCGTGGGGAGGTGATCCAGGAGCTCCGAGATCCTGGTTCCCAGCGGAGTCTGTAAATTCCTGAACTGATCCCGGGATTAAAGTAACGATTAAAGGTTGTGGGATTTGGAGCTCACAGTCGAGACCGTCAACAACATAGGAACGTAGGAACAGGAGGAGGCCATTCAGACTCTCGAGCCTGTTCCACCATCCTATTAGATCATGGTTGATCTGTACAACAACAACAATTTGTATTTACACAATGCCCTTCACATAATAATAATAATAATAATAATAATAATAATAATAATCCTTGCATTTGATATAGCGCTTTTCACGTCGGGAGGACGTCCCAAAGCGCTTCACAGAACACACTGTAAAGTGAATTGTCTGTATATTTGTGGGCGAACGCGGCAGCCAATTGCGCACAGCAATGTCCCACAAACAGTCGTGGATTGAAAATGACCGATTTATTATTGTTTTTGGTTTTATTATTAGGCTCTGTGTGGAGTAAGGAAACTTGCCCAAGGTTTCGCCCTCTACCTGGAATTGAACTCAGGTCTCTCACTCGCAAAGCGAGTGCTCTAACCACTGAGCTACAGGACTCCGATAGCTCAGGACATGAGATAGCATCTCAGAGTGCTTCACAGTGGCGGGGCTTAACGCTGAGCAGTGGGGGGAGAGGGCAGATGACCGCAGACATAGTCGAAGAGGAAGATCTTCAGGTGTGATTTGAAGATGGTTAAAGAGAGGATGAAGGGGAGGGACTGAGGCAGATTTACACAGTTTCGGGGCATAGTGGCTGAAAGCATGGCCGCCGATGGTAGAGCGGAGGGGATGAGGGATGAGCAGGAGGCCGGAGACACAGTCTAGGCTGTCGTTCCAGCGCAGCACTGAGTCCCAGCGTTCATCCTCTCCGGGACAACCCCAGAAATACTTCCCGCAGTCATAGTCCCCTATCCACCCCACCCACCCCAGTGTGAGGAAGCAGTAATTCCAACACTCCCTGTCCTACCTTTTCAGCCTCCGTCTCGTTCAGGATCTGGGGGTAAATCCTGTACAGGTGCAGAACAATTTTGTCTACGAGATTGGGGTCTAGATTGCCTTTGCCGGTGAGAAAGGCAGAGTCCCTTTTCAGCCGTCTGCAGTGATCTATAACAGCAACCGAGACATCAATCAAGCCTCCGGCCAACCCTTTACACAACACACAGATACTGGCTCACAGGTTTACAAAGAAACACACACAAACACACACACAAACTCAACACGCGCTCGCACACAAACGCACACTCGCACAAACACAACAACAACTTGCATTCACATAGAGTGCTTCACGTGGGGCAGGGTCCCAGAGCACACCAACGCGATTAAACTCATTCACGTACAAACACGGACACACTCAAACACTCACTAACCTGCACTTCAACACACACACAGACACACACACTCAAATACTCATACATGCACACAAGACGCCTGAAGACCCTCTTCTTCGACCATGCCTACGGTCACCTCCCAACTCCCTCCTCCAACCCCCTTCCTCCGCCACTGTCAAGCGCTCTGGGACATCACCCTGCTTGAGTGGCGCTGTGTAAATGCAAGTTGTTGTTGAGTTACAACTCCTGATGTGGTGGCTGGCCAGGGTGTGTGTGTGTGTGTGCGTGTGTGAATGTGGGTAAGGTTTGGAAGCGGAAATCATTAACACTCCCTGCCTCCTCTGAGAAGGGTTTCCAAACATTGGGTGTGACAGATGACCCCAAAGCAATTTAGTGTGCGAGTCCATTAGTTGCACTGGCTGCAGGAACACTCAATGCAAATGCGCAGGGCGGTGCCTGGAGTGACTGTGGCCATTTCCCTTTGAGCTTCTGATCTGCAGAACGTTTCCTTGTGTGTGTGTGGTGTGTGTGTGTGAGCGAGAGAGAGAGAGAGAGTGACAGCTTCCCAGCCTCTGACACTGCACACAAGAGGAGGAGGGCACAGAGCCATGCAGAGCAGAGCCAGAACCAGAGCAACGCACAGTGAGAGCAATCAGTCAGGCAGGGACTCCAGGCTTCACACTGCAAAAGCTCTGAATGCTTTGTGTCTCACTTGGTCTTGGTGTGGGGGGTGAAGCCACTCACTCACGCACTCACTCACCTGCCATGGTGTCCACGCTCTGTCCACACTCCCATCCGTTTTGACCTCTGGCTCTCTTTCTCTCCGTGTTTCTCGCTTTCTCTCGGACTCCTCCCAGCTCTCTTTTTCCGTGTTGCCTTTCCTGCATTTGCTCAAAAAAAAACTCCACCTCCCAACAGTGTCCTCATGTTACAGCCACGCACGCATTGGCAGGGCAGCCCAGCTCAACCCAACCCAACCCAGCCCAGCCCAGCCCAGTACAGTACAGAGCCTGGCAAAGCTTGTGGGAGAGCCATTGCACCCCTAGGAGTGGGGAGGTGGAGAGAGGTGGGGTGGCAGGAGGTGGGGGGGGGGGAGGGGGTCTGCATTTACCCCATTTATATTGCATTTTCAGGGCCCCCAGGATTTTGCTCCATTCTTTTAAAAAAACACAGCCTTTCGCATTGCCTCTAAAGCATCTTTCTCCCGACATTGTTTACCTACAAAAACCCGGTCACTTCCATTTCACATCAAATCCTGTGAAGCACTTTGAGATCTCCTTCTGCTGTGATAAGGCGCTATACCAATGCGAGCAATATTATTATTATTATTATTATTATTATTATCTGCTTGGTTCAGTGGTAGCACTCTCTCTCTCTCTCTCTCGCCTCGGAGTCAGAAGGTTGTGGGTTCAAGCCCCACATCGGGACTTGGAATCACGTAATCTAAGCTGACGCTCCAATACAGCACTGGAGGAGCGTTGCACTGTTGGAGGTGCCGTCCTTCGGAGGAGATGTTAAACCGAGGTCCCCGTCTGCCTGTTCAGGTGGACGTTAAAGATCCTGCGGCACTATTCGAAAAGAGAAGGGAGTTTTTTTCTCTGTCTCTCTCTCCCGGTGTCCCGGCCAACAATCCACCAAATAAAATTTGGTCACTCACCCCACGGCTGTTTGTGGGACACTGCTGCGGGCAAATTGACTGCCGCGTTTCGCCCACAAAATATACAGTCAATTCACTTTACGGTATATCCTGTGAAATGCTTCGAGACGTCAAAGGAGCCGGGATATTTAATTTATTGGGGGGGGCAGGGAGAGGAAAATAGGAAAAAAAATAGGAGTAACATTTAATTCAAGCAATCTGTGATAAAATAACATTCAGAAATCTTTTATTAACTTGCAAAATAGAACGATTACATCCCAGGTCGAAATAACTGTGGATCCCAACTGTAAAACACTAACGAGTTTAGGAGCAGGAGTGTTAATTAATTAAGTTACTCGCCAACTGGGCTGTCAGACACCTGTCGGTACCAGCTAATGGTAAGCTCTTTACACTTCATCCTCTCCTATACAAATCCTTTGACACAGTCTGATTACAGAGTAACCTTGGGTTTGGGTAAATTGGATGCACGGGAGAGAATAAGTAGCTTCCAGAGGTAATGAGTTAGAATAATAATAATTAATAATAATCCTCGCATTTGATATGGCACTTTTTTTAATATCCTGAGGACGTTTCGAAGCGCTTCACGGGATTTACTGCAGGGAAGCTGTTAAATATCCTAATTTACAAATCAGCTCTTATTTTGTATATTTCAGTGTATTCCTACTCCACTCTAATGAGGTGGATTATGCTAATGACTCACAGCACGATAACGTGTTACTGTACAGAAAGCGACTTCTGCTCGATGCTAATCTCTGCTCCATATTTATAGTAACTTTCCGCAACTGTATTAATCAGGCATTACTCGACATAGCTAGTCACCTTGCCGCCCTAGCCTTGATCCGAGTCAAGGTCACACAGTATTAATTCTGTGAGTCAACGCTGCCTATCTGACCATCTCATCTGCAGTAAACAGCCGGCTCTGGTGAATCATTTGTTGGGAAGGATATGAAAGAAGCAGAAAAGGTACAGCGTAAAGTCAATAGCACGTCACTCAGGGTGAGGGGTTTAAACTGAACAGAGTCCTGTAGAGCAGTGGTTAGCACACATGCCTTTTAAGAGAGAGGACTTGGGTTCGATTCTCAGGAGGGGCAAAATCTTAGACAAGTTTCCTTACTTGACGCTGTTTACCGAGCAGTGTAAGTCAGAACCCGGTTGTTAGTCGATTGGTGGATTGCTTTCCAGGAGTAATAATCCCTCCAAAAAAATCCATCCGCGACTGTCTGTGAGACACTGCTGTGTTTTGCCCGCAAAATACAGTCACTTTACAGTATATTCTGTGAAGCGCTTTGAGATATCACGACGACGTGATAAGGCACTATATCAAATGCTACTACTATTATTATAGCTGCAGTGAGCTGAATGACCTCCTCCTGGCGTTCCCTTGTGAAAACAGTAACCCCATGTGATCCAAAAGCACCAACGACAACACATCTGAGGGTTTGTGCAATGAGGCTTTAATTCCCACCGTCTCGAGATTCAAATCGTCTTTATATTATATTAGCAGAAAATCCCTTAAAATCGAGTGTGCCAAACAGCGATGACACAGAGACACAACAGGTGGGTTTCCGGGGCAGTATACAGTTTCATGCTTTAAATACAAACAAAGCATTAGACTCCAATACCGGTAGCGGTGCATTGAAAATGCAAATGATTACGGTAATGAGCCATCGCCCTTTGCATCGATTATATGTATTTTTATATATATATATAGATACGTATATTAAAATAAAGCTTTAGGTCCCCTTGAAACCTCCAGTCATCGATGGTAAATGGTAATTCTGTTCCTGGGAGTACATATAAAGATTCCCTCATTAGAAAACAAGGTCTGTGGAAACATTCACAGTCATAAGGCACGTCTCTGAGGCCATGGTCTTATTCAGCTGTGCTGCCCTTTGAGGTCCATTGGAATGCAAATACCCCTACATTGGTGTACGACAGCTCCAAGTGTCAAGGTGGGTGACTGGGTATATGATTCCCCTCTTTGCTCCTGGGCTGGTGAACAGCCGCGTGTGTTAACACCATGTGCTTGGCAGGTACCGATTCCTGTCCCATCTCAGACTCGACGAGCCCGGACGTTTTGGAGACGTGAGCGTTCTGCTGCTGCAAAATCCTCCACTGCTCGTTTTCCGCGCAGCACACGGTGACCCGGAAATCCTCCAAAATCTGCTCCTGGCACCTACGGATACAACCGGGACACCAGACACACACACACCTCGTCAGCTGTTTTTCACCAGTATTCACGGCCAACAACGGAACGAACGAACAACCGAAGCAACTTTTTTAAAAAAAAGGAAATCAGAAATTGAAGTGGAGTGCGCTCGCAACTAACCTTAACTGACCTTAGGTAAGTTTTCCTTACTCCACGCCCACGCCTCTGTCTAACTCGCTGTAAGTAGGAACCCGATTGGTGGATCGCTTTCCGGGGGTAATAATCCCTCCGATAAATAAATAAATAAATAAATGTGGTCACTCAATCCACGACTGTCTGTGGGACACGGCTGTTTGTGTGCAAAAGTGCACGTTTCGCCCGCAAAATACAGTCAATCCTGTTCCCAGGTTCCAATGTTGTTTCCTAACGGTTTCGATGTGCTAATTAGTGGGACGAGTTGCGTGGCTCTTTCAAAGAGCCAGCACAGTTACGATGGGCCGAATGGCCTCCTTTTGTGCTGTAAGATTCTATGATTCTATTCAGACTTCAGCGAGCCCGCTTGTGGTCCGGAGGTTTTTATACCTGCAGAAACCTCGGTTTTCCAGGCCACGCTCCACATCGGCCACCAGCCTCGTGTCCCTGAATTTGTCACAGCAGCCGCTGCTGTTGTTGTTGTTGTGGTTGTATCTGCTTTTGTTGCCATAGTAAGGAGCCCTCGGGTCTTCCCCCACATCGCATTCAATCTGAAACCAGGTCTGAACTCCCCTGAAAAAAACACATTGGCAGGACTTCATTAAAATAAACTTCATTTCTTTAATATATATATATACATACAATAATATATATAAAAATAACTTGATAGATAGATAGATGTGTTATTGAGAAATAAGGCACGTGAGGAATATGGAGAAAAGGCAGACCCTCCGCCCTCCCCACCTCATCAGTTTGAACACCTCGGGGTTTCAAGAGTGAAATGACTGACGGCTGTGATACTTTGCGCAATGTTCTGTCTCCTAAGTTCTTGGCTCAATCCGTGGATTCAAATCCAGTTCTTGATCTCACCCAGTCTAAGCTGATGCTCCAATGCAGCGCTGGGGGGTGGGGGGAAGTGTTGCTTTGTCAGAGGTGCCGTCCTTTGGACGTGATGTTACCCCGAGGTCCTGCCTGTTTGTTCAGGTGGATGTTAAAGATCCCGTGGCGCTTTTCGAAAAGAGAGTCTCTCTCTCTCCCGGATGTCCTGGCTATCAATCTCCCAAATAAAATGGGTCACTCACTCCGTGGCTGTTTGTGGGACAGTAATGTGTGCAATTGTGCTCCAGCGAATGCCCTACAAATACACAGTAACTCCCATTTCACAGTCATTCCTGTGAAGTGCTTAATTAAGCACGTCCTTCCGATGTGCTACGACACTGCACCAAATGCAAGAATTATTATTATTTTTATTATTTAAGTCCTGGAGTTTGGAAATGTTGTGATTCATCATGGCCCCACCCAGCGCGGTAGTTCCTTGTGTTCCTTTCAACACCTCCCAGGCCGATGGAAAGACACGACTCGGGGTTGTCAGAAACACAAAGCCAATTCTGATCATTCCCCCCAACTCAACCACGGAAGAGTGTGATTTGTCCTCAGGATTAGGTCGACCCCTTTCTTACCTCTGCTTCCGTCTCTCATTCTTCTTGACACACTTGACGAGGCAGCAGGTTAGGAACGCTGTGCTGAGCAGCAGGATTATGGCGCTGCTGATGATGGAGGCGATCACGGCAACTTTGAAGCCAAATTCGTTGCGCACTGGAACAGCTGAAGGAAAAAGATGTATTTTAGTTGCATAGTTTAAGACTTTTTTTTGGGTTGGGGGGGGGGGGATGGGAGGGAGGGAAAAACACTGGATTTTTATTATTATAAATTATTATTATTATCATCGTTATCATTAAACAAAGGCATACATCCGGGGGCCGATTGGGAGCAGGGACTTGAGGTAATGTAGCATTTGTTGGCTATTGCCCTATTTGGATGACAATAGAAAGCAGTTTGATATTTTCCTGGGAGGCAGGATTTTCTGGAAGGAGGAGATCAAATGGGCCGAAGGCTCTTCTTCATCCAACCAAACCTCGTGAGAAAGGGGCCTGACCTACACCCATCAATTGAGAAATCTCCATCGAGTTACAAGACGATAATGTGAGCGGCAACTCTTACCTTGACATTCTGGGAACGTTCCAGTCCAGTCCGTGCTGTTGCCCTTTGCCACGCACAAAATCTTTTCGTTTCCGACCAGCTGGTAGGCGGGCAAGCAGCGAAAGGAGATCTTGGTGCCCTGGTTGGTGCCGTTGCCCCCTTGCAAGCTGTGGCTACCGAAACGGGGAGAGGCGACCGGGCGACACTGGCCTGGCAATCAGAAGAGAGGAGAGTCAGACGGAGTCACAGCAAACGCCACAGAAATAACTTCTACTGTCCACCGCCAAGATCTACTCGTACAAAAGCGCAATTGGCTGCTGTGTTTTGCCCACGAAATACACAGCCAATCCATTTTACACTATAATAATAATAATAATAATCCTCAAAGCTCAGATGCCTCAAAGCTCTCAGAAACATAGGAACAGGAATAAGCCATTCAGCCCCTTGAGCCTGTTCCGCCATTCTGTAAGATCGTGGCTTATATGCACCTCAAGTCTCAATTATATTCCGGGCTTCACAGAATATGTTGTATAGTGGAGTGACTGTGTATCTTGTGGGTGAAACGCGGCAGCCAATATATTCTGTGAAGCGCTATGAGACGTCTCACCAACGTGATAAAGCACTATATCAAATGCAAGGATTATTATTACAGTATTATAAGCACAAAATTGTGTTCCATTCACTCGCACACGTAAATTAAGGTTAAAGTCAAAGTTCCGCAAATGAAGCTGTTACACGTTTAAATACATGTTTATTTCAAAAGCAATATTTTTCTCGAAGAAGCTTGAGTGCTTTTGGTGAATCTATCAGACAAATAGAGACCTCCCAAGGAAATACAAAGCAGTAATGAAAGACAAGTGCCTGTGTAGCCCAGTATTTTGCCCGTCGCCAACCGCGGCTTTGGCTCGCGGGGCTGAGGACGTGAATGCACCCCCAAGTTGTGCCTTGTATTACTGCGAAGTTGTACGGTTTTATATCTCCTTGGGAGACTCCTCTCATCTCTGCTCGGGAGATCCCGCTTATCTACCTGCAACAGGATATTCTTAGCCGCGGTGCTAATTATAATCGACCTTGAAGAACGAAGGACTGAGCGAACACTCTGAGGTCAAACCCATAACCTACCTGGTTCCACGTCTGACACTCAGGTGTCCGAGTGACCTGGCACTGCTCAATACAGACGTGCTATGTGCTAGAGCAAAGAGCTCGACTGGATGTGGGAACCGAACAATAACGTAAATGCAAAGGAACAGGTGGAAACCGCGAACCAACCTAATAGCCATGTTCAACGAAACGCATTAGGTTTGTATGATAATGTAATGTTAGAGTCTAATGAAACACATCTGGAAGATGTGCAAGGCAATTAAGCAGCGACGGAATTCATTTAATTTGATTTCTGTTTCTTCATACGCAACTCGAGTCTTTCGGGGGCCCTTTCCCGTGATATAGTCTGACTGAAAATTGGCCCCATCGTCCCTTAGACAAGATATAGGACAAGATATTCCTTGTCCTTGCATCCACCTGGGAGCTCATATCTCTGTGGACCGCTTTAAGAGAATTCTAGCAAAACGTGATGAATATTCCCGTGTACGCTCATTTCCACTTTAATCCTGCCAGCTCTATTCCCAGGGTATCACATTACATACTGTAATATTCCTCTCCGCGTCCTTTTATGTTGAGCTGACGCTGGGGCCAATTTCTGAGAGATTTGAATATCCAAAGCAATTATGCAATTAAACTGCACAGTGCTTGCTTAATTGACTGAACAGTCTGTTTTGCAGGAGAACGTGTCAGGCAATTTTGCGCAAAGCAACGTCCCACACGCAGCCATTAATCGAATGGGAGGTTGTCTCAAAGACGTGATTAGGCGCTACATCAAATGCAAGGATTATTATTGTTGGCCAGGACACCGGGAGGGAGACCCTACTCTTATTTTGAATAATGCCATGATATCTTTAACTCCCACCAGAACAGGTAATAATAAAATATTAGAGCTACGTGGAATATACAGCACGGAAACAGGCCATTTGGCCCAATTGGCACATGCCGGCATTTATGCTCCACATGAGCCTCCTCCTGCCTAATAATCCTTGCATTTGATATAACGTCATTGAGACGTCTCAAAGCACGTCACAGGATATATTGTAAAGTGGATTGACTGTGTATTTTGTGGGCGAAACGTAAAAGGGCAAAAGGAAAGGGCGGGGAGTCAGGAATGGAGTAGACACCTCCAGTAGATGAGCTCACACCAGTGTCGCTCTAAGGGCTCTCTTTATGCTGCAGTTTCCATGATCAGATAGGTGTGTGCATCGCCTGGAGTAGTGTTTGTGAAGAGACTTAATTTATGGAAGCAATCTGCAACTGAGACAACCCGGTCACACGTTAAGAGCGAGGTTGACACGGTGCACCAGTGCCAAAAATATTTTAAGTGATGTCTCTGTGGCAAAGATTTATGGGAACAGTTCAGATGATGTATTGCTCCCATCCATTCCTCCCCCACCCCCACCGTAGTACTGGGAACTGCAGAGAAGGCATGTGTCACGAGGAAAGAGAAACTCAATAACAGGCACTGTTTAATCTCACCAGTTTATCTCACCTCTCAACCCCCATCAATTGCACTGCACACACCTCACACACATCTGGGCTTCAAACCCCAAAGTGCGAACCGTTACACAATGGGTGTTGCCCCGATCTAGCTTCGTGGGCTGAACGTTGCACAGAAGAGCAGCCAGCTTTGCCTCTAAGGTTTCCTCGCCATGCACCAACATCACTCGTTAAGCCACAAAGCCGCTCCGCGATGCGAAACCTCAGTGCATTGTGAGTTATTGCCAATAAGTTTGGTCAGCGCTGTCAGCAGCTACATTCTGTGTGGGTGGGTGTGTGTGTGTGTGTGCCTGCGTGAGTGTCTATAAAAAAACCTTAACCATTTCATTACAAGGTAGAAGAGACATCTCAAACCTGAAAGGGTTTGGACTGTACCATATCCGGGTGAACCTTACACACCAGATGTGGCGAACTTTCAATTGTTCTCCCTTAACCCTGAACAACAGCGCTTTACAGAACAATTAATTTTAAAAAAACACAGAGAAACGGAAATCGCTGGGTGATAGACTGGATGACAGAGCTCTACCTAAACCGCCTACACACACAAAAAAACTTTCGTGCATTTTCCTGCCCCTGTGCCAAAAATAAACAATGACAGCCGTGGCTTCAAACTTATTCCAGTTATTCAATGCAGTAATTTAGTGCCTGTATTACCCACAGTTATTGTCTAAGCTGTGGTCGAACGGGGCAGATAATTGCAGCTTTGAACTTTGAAGTGTAACTTTCACCGATCTCAAAGATTAAGCCAATTCCCTTTTGCTGGCCTGGTTTTCTCTGTATGAATATTTATTCAACTGGAGCAACGTTCCTTTCTTAACAGTGTCCCCCTCGATCTCGACTGACCAAACCCATGCAGGGGGGGAAAAAAAACGCAGCGAGCTTGGCTGTACAAGAGAAACTAAAGCACTTTGCTCTTGTTTAACGGTGTAAGCACATTACACTGGGCATGTTTCTAATTGATGGTTTTCAGTTTATGTCGATGTGGGCACTATTTGGGTACCGTGCCAGTCACCGCGCTCTTCATCAAAGTCTGCGCTTTGGGAAGGAACAAAACACTTTACAGACCGGACGGACCGGGTGCAAAAATCAAGCTGGTCAAACAATTGTTGAAAAAAGTAACCTTATTTGCAAACTGCTGGGCTGGCCTCCAGCTGTATTGGTTTCAAAAGATTACTAATGATGTAGTGCGTCAGCCTGGGGCAGTGGGAAGCACTCTCGTCTCTGAGTCAGAAGTCGGTGGGTTCAAGCCCCACATTGGGACTTGGAATCACATAGTCTAAGTTGATGCTCCAGTGAAGGTACTGTGTTGTCGGAGATGCTGTCCTTTGACGAGACACTAAACTGCCTGTCTGTCTGTTCAGGTGGACGTTAAATGATCCCATGGCACTATTCGAAAAGAGAAGCGAGTTCCTCCCAGCGTCCTGGCCAACAATACCCAAATAAAATAGGTCACTTACTCTGTGGTTGTTTGTGAGACACTGCTGTGCGCAAATGGCTGTCACATTTTGCCCGCAACATACACAGTCAATCCAGTTTATAGTATATGCTATGAAGAGCTTTGAGACATCTAATGGTAAGGCTCCTTGCCAAATTGCAAGGATTATTATTAAGTCAGACAGCAAATGGACGTGTGTGGTCAATATGCTCTGGTTATCCCCAATGCGCCTCCCTTCCAGCCTGCCTTAAAACCTATCTTTTTGCCTGTGCTTTCTCGGTCACCTTGTACCACACTCACTCTGCACCAGCCAGGACACCCAGCTGACCAGTTGTGTGACATCTCTTTGAGATGTTCGCCCCCCCCCCCACCACCACCAACATGAAATGCGCCGCATAAATGTAAATCGTCGTCACTCTACCCAAGGCCAAGTTTCTGAAGTTTCACTTTCTCAGCAGATGAGACCTACCGGTATTCTCTCTCCCTTCCCCCCGAGCACCAGGTGACAGCTCATACCCCAATTCTCAATCAAGTAACTTCCTTAATCCGGTTCCTTCCCTTTTTTGGGTCAGCCAGGTGTCACCGCGCTTAAGCATATTCAAACCCAACTGAGAGTTCCACGCTTACCACCTACACGCGCAGAGATAGTTTGTTGGAATGGAATGCACACTCTCTCCCTGGACTGACCCATCCTGCTTACCTAATTCCGGAAAGTATGAGGCGTAGGTCGGCAAGAACCAAGGATTGCGGGGGGGGGGGGTGGGCGGGGGAACCCAGAGTGGGGTAACTGCTGGAGTCTAACCAGCTAAAACTGCACGGCTTGCCATTGAGAGTGCTACGTGGCAAGCTTTCCCACCGCTTGTCCAGCGAGGACCCCCCTACTCGATAGGGCCTCGGCTTGCAGAGTTAACAGGAGCTGAGTCCCTCCCTTGTTTTAGAGAAACGTTATCAGAACTACACTCTGGCTGACTTACTTCCTCTTTCATTATTTAACAGTATTTTTTTTTTTTACAAACTTGTAGATCTATAATTACACGGCAATGCAAAAATAGTATACGATACGGTGCACATATAAAAACAAGTGTTACGGATTATTTTATCTCTCGTTGGAAAGTTACACTTTAAGTTAACGCAAAAAATTATTATTCGTAACACAATCGTGGCAAGTGTCTCGACACTCTGCGACACTGCAGAGACATCCCACCACCTGGTCCTCAATGGAGGACAGGAAGATGAGGGAGCGGTCAGCGGTTCCTGTGTGTGATACTGACCAGGCTCCTGGGCGCTGTGTGACCCCCCCCCACCACCACCCCCGCTCAGCAACTGATTGACTGGGCTCCTGCTTGTGTCAGCGCCAGCCTCCAGGACAGGGAACCCAGTCAACAACAACAACAACAAGAACAACAACTCGCATTTATAGAGCGCCTTTCATGTCGGGAACGTGTCCCAAAGCGCTAGTCCCATCACCACTAGCGCCTAATGTGGCGTTTCCTATTTCATCCTATCCCAACTCAACCTCAACTCAATCACATCCCAACTGGATCCAGCCCCAAATCAACCCCAACCCATCTAAACACCCCCCCAACCCCACTTACACTCCCAACACAACCCGAACCCCATCACTGCTCTCTTACCCTTGCCTTTGGGACCGGTGTTATCATCCCTGGAGTAGACGCTACTCTCTGAGTTGTTGACCATCGGCTCGGTGGAGGGTTGCATGTCTCTTTCTCTGTCACTCTCTCTCTGTCACTCTCTCTCCCTCTCAGCTTCTCCTCGCTGCTGTGGAGCTTGTTAGGAATCGGGCATTCGCTTTCTTCGCAGCCCAGAGCGTATGTTGGAGAGGTACTTTGCTGTCAGAGGTATTTCAATCAATCAATCAATCAATCAATCAATCAATCAAATCTATCAATCATGTCAGGAAACCAAGCTCCAAACCCAGTGACTGCATTCCCTCTTGGGAAGACCTGCTCTTCCAACCTGCTCTCACCCAGTCGATTGGTACAAGAGTTAATGAGAGAGAGAGAGAGAAGAGAGGGAGAGAGGGAGGGAGGGAGGGAGGATAAGAAAAAATATGTTGAAAGTTGCGTGACTGAACCAATCTGTCGTTAAACCACACACATATAAAATACTTCCTTGTTAGTTCCAAGTTTCTCTTCCTGTCTCTCTTACTCACTCTCTCTCCTCTCTCTCTCTCTCTATCTATCTATTCATCCATTTCTCCATCTCTCTCTCTCTCTCTCTCTCTGTGGCACAAGGAACCTCATTCCAATCCCCTGTGTGTGTTTGTAGGTTTACAGGATTTTAAAACAAATCCTTTTTTTGTGATGAGGATTTGTGTTGATTACACACACACAGAGAGAGAGAAGAGAAGAGAGAGAGAAAAAACAGATCACATCACTGTCATCTGTTGTCTTTTTGGGGAGATTAACAAAATTCTACAGGATGTGATGGGAGAGAGATAAGGATGGAGAGAGTGAGTAAGGCGAGGAGAGGGGGGAAGAAAATGGGAGGAAGAGAAGGGAGGGGGGGGGGGAGAGAAGTTTCTTAAAAGATTTTCTATTTGCAGATATTCAGCTGAAAATGCTCATTTGCTGTGAACACAGGTTCCAACCAACAATTTGCAGACTGATAAACAGACATCTGGTCAGACACAGGGGATGGGGTTAGGGTTTGGATATTTTGAATGCAATATTAAGGATATTTTTTTTGCAGGAAACTCCCCCAAGTCAGTCTGTGTGTGTGTGTGTGTGTGTGTGTGTGTGTTCTGTGTGTATAAGTGTGCGTTATGTGTATATATATGTGTGTGGTGTGTGTTATGTCTGTACTGTGTATGTGTGTGTGTGTATGTGTGTGTTTTTATATGTGTGTGTGTAAGGGTGAAATTGACATTAAATACCTTGTGGATCACAGCTGTTCAGTGTGAATCCAGGGCTCCAGATCTTGCTCTGTATTCACCATCTCTCCTTTCGCCCAAGACGCATTTTTATTCAAAAAAAACACAATAAAATATTTTTTTTATATACATATCTATTTATATCTATTTTTTTTCATTAAAAAACCACACACACACACACACAAAACTGCGCTTATTTCCCCATCAATATCATCCGGGCAAATAATAACGAGGAAATGGCGTCAATCCCATGCGTAATGTTGCACAAGGCTATTAACGGAACGTATTGCGAATTGCGCGTTAACACAGTAGGCGCTGGTGCTGACTGTGTAAAACCTGCAGCTAAACCCCAGCGTCTGAGCTCCACAAACCTGGGATTGCTGCCACATTCCCAAACAATTCCCTCATTCCCAGGGGGCAGGCACCAGGGTACCAGATCTCCCTGTGGATTCTGCATCTCCCTTTCCACCCAAGACACCTTCAAAATCCTTTTGCACCCCTGCAAGTTTCTTTTAATTTTTTTAGCCAAAGGAAAAAGGTGTAGGTATTTCTTCTACTTGATGTGTATTTGGTCGAGAGCAACAACAACGACAACTTGGATTTATATAGCGCCCTCCGCGCCGGACCGTGTCTCGGACGCACGTGGGTACGTGGGTACACGCGCAGAGATTTTTCGCCCGCCATACGCCGGCGCTACGCTGTACAGCGTGTCCTGCGAAGCGCTTTGAGACGTCTCGAAGACGCGATAAGGCGCTATATCAAAGGCAAGGATTATTATTATTATAACTCTGGAAATTTGCAGTCGAGCAATAGGCTACGTTTTTTGTGGAATAGTCCGGATTTGTCATTTTACAGGTGACTCACAGGTGAGCCAGAAATGGCAAGATTCAATTGCTAGGCATCAGTAGGTGAATGCTGTTGAAATTTTTATTCAAGACTTCTGTTGGTTCCTGTAGATAACCAACAGCTCTCTGTGATCAGTGGTCACTCTGTTAATCACGATGGATTCCGGGTTAAGGATGAAAACCTGCATGACCTCAGAAACGCTGTATATCTCATACCCTCTCTCTCTCTCTCTCTCTCTCTCTTCCTGATGAAAAATATATCACAGGAGCAGAGTTCTTTTTTGAAGTCACATTTGTTCCGCGGGATAATAATAAGAATCATATAATAATAATAATCCTTGCATTTGATCACGTCGTTGAGATATCCCAAAGCGCTTCCCAGAATATATTGTAAAGTGGATGGACTGGGCATTTTTGTGGTCGAAACGCGGCAGCCAATTGCACACAGCAGTGTCCCACAAACAGTCGTGGATTGAGTGACCAAATAATTATTATTTTGGAGGGACTATTGCCCTCGGAAAGCGATCCACCGATCAACTAACAACTTGGTTTCAACTTACTGCTGTATAAACAGAAGCGTGTGTATGGAGTAAGGAAACTTGCCTCAGGTTTTGTCCCGCTTGGGAATTGAACCCGGGTCCCCTCGCTGGCTGAAGCGAGTGCTCTAACCACTACACTACGAGACGGGAATCAATTGGTGTTCTTCACAACGATGATGTGAAATTGCTTTATTCCACTTTGAGATATTGGAGAATTGGACTGTTTGCCAACAAGGCTATTACAGCGCTACTCAGTCAACTGTGCTGTTCCGGCAGTGACTGATTGACTGATATTGCTGTTTCTCTGCTTTTTGCCTCTCCTCCAATATCACTTCTCTTCTCTCCTGAAGGTCTACCGAGCAGTAAGTAGGAACCCGGTTGGAACCCCTTAACCCTAATTCATAATTCATAATCCACGCCTGTTTGTGGGGACGCTGCTGTGCGCGATTGGCTGCCGCATTTCGTCCACAAAATATGCAGTCAATTCACTTTACAGCGTATTCTGTGACAGCGCTTTGAGATGCCTCAACAATGTGATTTAAGGCACTATATGAAATGCAAGGATTATTATTATTATTTTTGACTGTCTGCTAAGATTCCAATGGTTGAGATAAATTTATGTTTTGCTAAATTTTGACCAAGAGGGGGAAATATTAGCCAGGAAAAAATTCTCTGCTCTTCTTAGGCGTAATGTAATGGAATCTTTAACAACATCAGTCATTCCAAGGGCAGTAACTCTGGAGAACTCCCAACAGCTTTTGTTATGCCTTATATAATGCCGTCAAGTCTTGGAGAGGGGCTCAACGGTATTGTAATCAATGCAATAAAACTGTCAATGACTTTAATATGAATCTGTCAAAAGCAAAATCGAATTACACGGCTTCCCCATTAACTGCAGCATTGGAAGCTGAAACTCTTCCCACACAGTCTCTGTTAACCCTCCAAACATAATGGGGAGAGAGATCCTAGGTGGACAAACAGCAGAAAGCTTGTCGGAGCCCATGTAGGGATGGAAACCCTTACACAGACTGTTAAGTACATTTGAAACAAATGCTACCCTTAGCGGAAAATCTCCCGGAACTATTCTGCTGCAGAAAGTGCAATATGCCGACAGCAAAAAGACATCGATCTCATTGCTCCTCCGCCTTTTTGAGTCACACCAAGAACGAAAATGATTGATTTTACTCTCACAATTCAATTTCAGCCACTCAAAAGTCACTGGCAATTGTTCTTCAATGCATTAAAACTTGGCTCGCGGGCATTATGTGTGTCAGCCTGGCCCAGTGGGTAGCACTTGAGTATTCGAGTCAGAAGGTTGCGGGTTTGAGCCCCACATCAGGACTTGGAATCACATAGTCTAAGCTGATGCTCCACTGCAGCTCTCGGGGTTGGGGGTGTTGCATTGTCGGAGGTGCTGTCCTTTGGATGAGACATTACACCGAGGTCGTGTCTGCCTGTTCAGGTGGACATTAAAGTTCCCGGTGTCCTGGCCAACACTCCCCCAAATACAATTGGTCGCTCACTCCACGGCTGTTTGTGTGACACTGCTGTGTGCGATTGGCTGCCGTGTTTTGCCCTCAAAACTACACGGTCAATCCACTTTACAACATATTCTGTGAAGCCTTTTGAGACGTCTCAATGACATAATAAGGCGCTAAATTAAATGCGATGCTTATTATAATTCTAGTCACTTTAGTCATTAGTTACATGGAACCCTAAAACGCCTCTTCTCAATGATTGAAAGTTGCTCGTTTGAAAAAAAATCCTTTAGTTTCCCTTTCACCATCTCCCCCCCCCCATCCCACCCCACGCCTTCAAATCTTATCTGGAGTATAAATCTTGATTTACTCCTACACTGTGAAAAAATATTCATTGTAATGGATTCTATGTGTAAATGATGCATTAATTCCATTGCCCACAACTCTCTCACCTCATACCTGAAAGTCACGCTTCATAAAATGCCAGACACCATTCTCTTATTCAGCAAAATGTTCAGAAATCCCACAAAGGTGCAGCCCCGGGAACTTATTGGTTTGAATTCCGTTCTATTTCAGAATCACAGAATCTTACAGCACAGAAGGAGGCCATTCGGCCCATCGTGCCCTGTGCCAGTTCTTTAAAAGAGTTACCCAATTAGTCCCACTCCCCCGCTCTTACCCCTTAGCCCTGCACAGTCTTCCTTTTCAAGTCCTTATCCAAATTCCACAATTGGATAAGTAGATAGACAAGTTGCAAGAGACGAGCACTCTGAGATGCCACCCTGCGCGGAGGGTGCAATACAAGTACAAGTTGTTGTTGTTGCCGATAGTATTTGGAGAGGACAAATTTGCAGGGCTACGGGGAGTGGGACTAATTTGGACAGTTCTTTCAAAGGGCAATCACGAACACGATGGCCAAATGGCCTCCTATTGTGCTGTATAATTCTATGATTTATTGCTCTAGAGCAACCCTCTATTGGTTGTGTGTGCGCACGAGCGTGGCAGCCGGGTGAAGAGAGGTCAGGCTGACATACGACACCCTCTACAACCGAGTGACCTGCCGATACTCACCGCCAGGACTCACACCTGGACAATGGCCGCTTGGGTGAGGGAATTGGGATGCACAATTGGCGTGGGGGGTGGGGGGGGGCAAGGGAGGGTAATTGAGAGCAATCTAGTACCCCAGGAAGAGAAGGCCAGATCAGGGGCAATGTGTCAGTTGGGAGAAACGTTTGAGAAAAAAAACATAATTTTGGAGGAGCGGTAAATTTGAACTAGTTCATATTTTGTAATTAAAGAAAAAAGAGATCCCACAAAGCGAGAACCCCTGTCTTAATTAGTCAGTTCAACGACGTGGTTCTTAACGTGTGCCCTCCAAAGTAGGTCACAGCTCCAAGCAAACAAACAAGGCCCCGGGTTGGGGGTGGGGGTGGGGGAGTGGGCAGCGCAGAGTGAACAGGGGAGGGCGTGACCGCAATGGTCTGGATCTCACCGCCATTCGCCCAGCACCCTCCTTCGTCCCTGCCCCCAGGGAGCAATGTTTAATCTGAAATGGATGAGATCCAGATATCGGAGAAGCTTTAGAACATCTCTTGGAGCAAATGGAAATGTATTTCGACTCAGGTACAGAGAGTGACAGAGAAACAGACAGACGGGAGAGTGTGATGGGCAGGATTGAGGCGCTGGAAAGAAGAGGCAGATCGAAACTTTAGGGCTGGTTTGAGTCAGGAAGGATGTGTCGCTCAAGAGCTGTTCCTCTCTGACTAACCACATGCGTACCTTATCACTGCAGCAATGGGGCTATGTATTTCTCAGAAACTGCAGCACATTGCACACAAATGCTGGGAGGTCTGTAAACAAACCTCATTCGTAGTTTTCGCTCTATAAATAAAGAATGCAGAGCAGTGCTCAAATCTCCAGGGCCGCTGTGTTCCACTTCTCTCCCGCTGAGCACTTGGCAGCTGGCAGACGTTTACAGAGCTTTATCATATAATATTAATAATAATCCTTAGCATTTGATATAGAGCCTTGTCACGTCATGCATGGAATATACTGTAAAGTGAACTGACTGTGTATTTTGTGGGCGAACCGTGGCAGCCAATTGCGTACAGCAGCGTCTCCACAAACAGTCGTGGATTGAATGACCACATTTGTTTTTCAACTAACAACAGGATATCTACATACTGCCAGGTAAACAGAGACGTGTGGAGTAAAGAAACTTGCCTAAGGTTTTCGCCCTGCCCGGGAATCAAACCCTCTCGCTTGTGAAGCGAGTGCACGTTTACCCAGTACGCTATGGGACTCTGCACTTTTTTCACAAACCAAGTGAGGTTCAGATGAAGAAGGCTCCATTCGATAGCTTGCTCCCAAGTAATGGGATGCGGAAATGTTCTGCCAAGCAAGGTGGTGAGAGGCAGAGGCCATGCACGAGGGAAGCTAGACAGGTTAGATTTTCAACAAGAATATCGAGTCATCTCCCAACTTTTGGGAAGTCAATATTCTGACTGCCAACCACGTGGCATTCCAGTGACTGCGAGATAACAATAACGATCCTTGCATTTGATATAGGACTTTATCACGTCGTCAAGATGTCTGAAAAAGCTTCTCAGGATACAATGTAAAGTGGGTTGACTTCGTATTTTGCGGGCGAAATGTGGCAGCCAATTTGCACACAGCAGTGAATATAGCAGTGAATAAGAATATATTCTGTGAAGTGATTTGAGACGTCACAAAGACGTGATAAGGCGCTGTATCAACTGAAGGATTATTATTGTACAGCACATCTGGGATTCCAGTTACACATCTTTTGGGAGACAAATGCCTGTGATTTAGACCTGAACACACGACTCTCTCTGCAAAATGACTAGTTCTCGTGTCTGGGTGATTGTCAGCCAAGGCATAGAGACAGTTTTCTCTCTGCAAAAATACATGGGAGCTGTTCAAGCGTAAAAAGACAGTTGGTAAAATGTCATTTCACTCACAAACCTCAAACTCCACCTGGTCTGCTTCCCCTTTTTCTTGGGGCTTGATTTATCTCGAGGACTTGCGCAAGGGACACGAGTTTCATCAGACGCTCACATCAATAACAGGACACCTCAGAGTGTCACATGAATAATAGGCTACAGTAGGATGAATCCAGTTGCTGGTATCCAGCTTAGTGCAGAAACAGTGGTTGTTACCAGCTAATTCCAGCAGCTGCTTTGATATCTCTGCTGCCCTCAGTTAGCCCTGAAATTCCCACCGGTCTTAGCCTGTGAGATTATTTTGCTCCAAAATTTAGGATCGCAAAGGATTGCATAAAACCTCTTAAGTTCAGTCCTCCGTTTGGTTACATTTGGATTTTCAATGATACTTAAAATGCGGAAACGTGGCACGGAAACAGGCCATTCATCCCAAACTAGTCCGCGCCAGTGTTTACATTGCACGAAATCCTCACCTACTCCCCTCAACGACACCGCTCTATTCCCTTCTCCCTCACGCCCGCATCAAGTTTCCTCCTATACGTTGATGAAATTATTCCACAATTCCGTGTCACCTTCAGTTTTAAGACACAATGGTTGTTTGTGTGTAATACACCTTCATATGAAAGAAATACCTATTAAGACCCTGTTGATGATAAAGGAGGGATTCTCTAGAACACTCTTCCTCTAACCCTCTGCCTTGGCTCCTACTTCCTCTTCGATAGTTTCTGGTCATCTCCTCTCTCTCCCCAGCTGGGCATCGGGGTCCACCACTGTCAAGCGCTCTGGGATACTGCCCTGCGTGAGGGGTACTGTGTAAATGCAAATTGTTGTTGTTGTTGTTGGATTGAATGGGTGTAAAATATGGACCTGCGATGAGACTATAAATGGAACAAATAATCTTCTTCACCCAAATCTCTCTCGCAATATAGATCAAAGCACTACAGTTGCTATTTGAGGGGGTTTGGCTTGTATATTTACGGGCATCAGGGACACACTTTGGGGAGTTTGGATGAGTTTCTGACTCTGGTTACTTACCTCCAAGAAGGGAATGACGAGGTTTGGGCCATTGCACAATGACAATGACAAGCTGACTCAGGAACCTTGGCCCTTGCGCAAGTTCCTGTGTTTTTTTCAAAGAAAATGACTCCGGAAAGAATGGGAACTATTTTTTCTTCAGTTGTTGGAAGAGTTACCTACCCACCTATTGCTGGCTCCTGTGTTGACGACGAAGATCGTAGAAATAACACAACGAGCTTATTTCCCACGTAGGAGGAGTGCGGCAGAGTTGAAAATCAGGAACGTTTATTTCAAGCACAGTTACATAAATTAAGTAAAATGGACAACAATCGACAGACTCGGGAAACCTTTGTCATCCTCCCTTCCTTTCAGCACATGGAGCGAATAAACAATTAAAAACAGTAATGCGATTTGTACAGCGGATCCCGACCTGTTTGACAGCACACAAAAAATAGGACGGGAGCAGAGAGAGAGAGAGAGAAATAAAGTCCATTCAACTTTTTATATATATATACTATATATATAATATATTATATATATATAAAGATATTAATTACATCAACCAAATGCCAGGAAGGGGATGACATGAGCAACGGCGAAGTTAGGGAATAGAATACACACGACTGACAAGAGTATATAAGTGGCCAGCCACACGGTCTCACGATTTTCTTTTTAACTTAATAATAAAAAAAACAAAGGCAACATTTTCCTTATCTAATGAATTACTTTACACCTTGCGCTCAGAGAGACGACAAGTCCACATTCACACAGAAAAACCGTACTGCACTGAGATGGACAAGAGAAGCAAACTGATGCTCTGTGCAGCAAACACATGGTTAAGCCCCCGAAACGACCACCCTCGCTATTTTCACTCCCTCGTTTGTTGGTTCGTTTGGTTCAGGGACCGTTCCCAGCCCCACACGCGCACACTCTCCCCTCTTCCCTGGGGATTGCACCCCCCAATCCCACTTGGCAACCTTCACCTGCGCCCCATCCGTTGCAAGAGGAGGAAGTATCACCGACAGACTTCACAGAAACACGCTCACTCACATGTGATATCGAACCCGATAATATGTAGAAATATCTCAAAATCTTATATAACATCTTCTTAAAACCAAAGTGCCCTTATATTTGCTCTCGAATGGTTCAATTCAGGTTCTGCGTCCATCGCGCAGTTAAATGTCCTATTCAGGAGTCGGGTTTGGGGTGAGTTTGGGGGTTTTTCGGGGGCTGGTGGGGGGTGGGGGACATATTTTTCTTCAGCCTCGTCTTTTTGTTTTCGATGATGATATATATATATTTTTTGGGGGTTGGGGGGGGGGGGAGGTTTGTGTCCTGTCTGCTCCCCCCCAAAAAATTGCGGCTATTCAGTGTTTTTTGTTTTATACTCAGTTCTCGATCGAATCTTCTCCCTTGGCAGCTTTGGAGGCCACATCTATCCACTTCCTCTGAAGCTCCTCATCCTCGGCAGCGAAATAAAAGGTTTGCTGGGATTGACTGAGTTTGAAAGCATGTTTCTTGTCCATTGCGTCTCCAGCGTTGACCGGGTGAACCTCATAGCCTGGCAGAGGGATGGTGCGTACGTTCTTTCCCTCCTGGGTCTGTGGGTGTTTGTGTGTGTTTGGGGGGAGAGGGGGAAGAGGAGAAAAGAGTAAAAAAACAACATGTTCGTTCATAATCCTAATAATTTTCCTCTTTCATTTGATCTTATGATGATTAGCGCCTCTCATCATCACCATCACCGCGATCCTTGCATTTGAACGTAGCGCCTTACCACATGGTTTGAGACGTCTCCAAGCGCTTCACAGAATATATTGTCAAGTGGAGTGACTGTGTGTTTTTGTGGGCGAAACGCGGCAGCCAATTGCTCACGGCAGCCCCAGATTGAGTGACCAAATGATTCTTATTTATTTATTGATTTCGAGCTTTGTCTGTATTATCGCACCTGACCAGACAGTCGAACCTTGTTCTTACACGCCCCCTCCCACCCCGCATCCCCTCCCTCCTGTTTATAACCGACAGGAACGTGCTGAACAGTAGTTTGGGCGATGTTTACGGCGACTGGGTGAGCAGCTGAGCGTCTGTGGCTCTTACCTGACTTCCTATGTGCAAATACAATACCAAGGGATCACTTTTGGGAATGGCTACCCACGCCTTGCTCCAGGTTTTCCCCTTTTCCATAAAACTTAAGTGGTTGCATAAAACACTGTTGTCACTGATCAACGAGTCTGGCCTCTGGAGGACAAGAGAAGAGTAAATGTTATCTATTTTTTTGGTCCATGTTTCTGTCCCCTCTTCCCCTCCTCACCCCATAGTGAGGAAGTACTACAATAATAATAATAATAATAATCCTTGCATTTGATACAGCGCCTTATCACGTCTTCGAGACGTCTCAAAGCGCTTCACAGGATATACTGTAAAGTGTAGTGACTGTGTATTTTGGGGGGCGAAACACGGCAGCCACCGCACACCGCCCACCCACCAGGGGCTGCCACTCAGTTTCTGGGAAACGCTTTGAGACGTCTCCCTATGTGCAAGACGCTCTCTGTCAGTTACACGTATACAGAGGCATTACTCAATCTCCGAGTCTGTCCAAAAACAGACGCTTAGTTCCTCATCAGCAGATCAACATTGACCAACACAACAAAATGTTGCTGAGCTCGTGGAGCTGGAAGTCTGACCTCCGCTCTCCTCTCCGCGTGCAGTCACATCACATTAGGCAACTGCGTCGGGAAATCTCACAGCGATGTGCTCACTGCAACCGAACTCAGACGTCTGGTCAAGGATAAGGGGATAGGGCAGGGGAAGTGAGATTGCTCTGAGAGCCTGCGATAGGCTGAATGGCTTCCTTCTGCGCTGTAAACCTCTGGATTATTAGGGAGCCAAACTCATCAACGGGGGGGAAACAAAAAGTTCCTGGAACTTTTAAGCCAAGCAGCGCTTCATCAAGAGCGAGTGGCGTAGCCTGTTTTCCCCTACTTGCATTTACCTTAGAAAATACACCGTCAATTCCCTTTACAGTATCTTCTGTGAAGCGCTTTGAGACGTCTCGAAGACGTGATAAGGCGCTGTATCAAATGCGAGGATTATTATTATTTTTTTAATTTTTGTTATAATGAAGTGAAAATGAGCAGCGAATGGATAAAATGTTAGCGTTCAACCAACCCCCACCCACCTACTCACCCCGCTCCCCGGTCACTAACACTGACCTCCATCGTGGATTTTTTCTTCTGGTCTGTTGTGTTCTCGGCTCCTGAGGTCGGAGGGGCCAGGGGTGGTAACCCAAAGCACTCCTTACACACCCGGTTATGCCGACTGTTGTCTGCCAGAGGCTTGAATTCTGAACATTTACCGCAAATAACCTGGAAAAACCCAACCACACATCACACACGCCATTAAAAACCCTTTCCTCTCCTCCCTCCCAACACAGCATTTCCTTCACCAAACAGGAGAGAGGCAAACGTTCATTGCCTGGTAGGACGAGATGCCTTGATGGTTCTTCTGGCTCCTCCCACCACCCCCAGCGGATTGAGTTCAATATCCCTGTCCTCACCTGCAAATCCCTCCATGGTCTCACCTTACCCCCGCCCCACCCTCCTGCTTTTTGACTCCACTCTTTCCTACTTCTAAGAGTTCAAGACTGAGGTGGATGGATGTTTGTTAGGTCAGGGTATCAAGGGATTACGGGGCAAAGGCGGGTAAATGGTGTTGAGGTACAGATCAGCCGTGATCTAATAGAATGGTGGAACAGGCTCGAGGGACTGAATGGCCTACGGCTGTTCCCACGTTCCCCCCAATGGCGTGCGGGCTTTCATCCATTCTGCGGAGTGGGGGTGGGCGCGGGCTGGGTGGGGAAGAATGACTCGATTTGTAGGAGGGTGTGGGGTTGGGGAGGGGCTGGCTCAATAGAGAGAGTAGATTGACATGGTGAATGAAGGAACCTCCTCCCGTTCCAACACCCCTCAATCCCCCAGGGGTCTATCTCTCGTCTGTCACTCTCTCGGACACTCACAGCGTTACACTGCTTGCAGTGATGGCGACGTTTGGTGATTGAATTGAACGTCTCACTGCAGCTCTTGCACGATTGCTTCTCCTTGTCCCGTTTCACTTTTGAAGCTCTTTTGCCTGAATCCATCTGAGGAAGTGTAAATAAAAAGCAATCGCAAAAATATTAGTACAACGAAATCCACCCGACACCCCGAGCAGTTTGCTCTCCTGATAAATGACGCCCAACATCCAACGCCAACAACTGTCATTTATATAGGGATCTTCCCTGGGTTCGATACCCGGGCAGGGCAACATGTTTGGAACGTTTCCTCACTGCACACACCTCTGTTTACCCAGCAGTAAGTAGGAACCCGGTTGTTAGTCGATTGGCTGACAGTGTCCAGGCTGAAGTTGGGTGTCCACCACGACCTTGAGATACCGATAATAATAATAATAATCCTTGCGGTTGATACAGCGCCTTATCGCATCTTCGAGACATCTCAAAGCGCTTCACAGGACACACTGTAAAGTGAATTGATTGTATATTTTGTGGGCGAAACCAACAAAAGGGACTGATGCATCTTGTATCTTCCAATCTATTCCCTCAAATGTCTTTCCTTGGGGGCAGTGCAGAATCATGATTCCACACTTAGGGGCACCTGATGAGGCACCAGGGTGACACTGACTGAACTAGCCTGACACCAACTAAAAGCAGACTCAGTCTGGTCAGCTGTCCGCGTGCAGTTCTGAGTAACACCCAATGTTACTCACCAATGATTGACTGGAGAAGTCTCCTCCTGCTGTAGATTCACCAGAACAGGTGGCTCCTGGGCCCTGTAACGCCAAAGAGGGAAGTCGCTAAAGATCTGGATGACAGATTAGCAGAACAAAAAAAATCTAAACTCTTCAGACTTACGTACAGATTGCAAATGCACAACATGGTCTAATTTGTGATATTTCTCAAGAGATTAGAAATGTGTAACTACTGATTTTTTCCGACGGTTACATTTTTTCGTAAAGTTCCCTTTTTTGTTAAATAACAAAAACACATCCATTTAATGCTTCGGAAATTCCCTAATTATACATTTCTGAGGAAGAAATTTGTTACGAAACTCCACAAATTCGAAATTGCCAAAGATATCGACCTCAATTTGATTGAATGCTGGATTTACGACATATTCAATTCAGCCCTTTTATACATCATTATCATTAATAACGCTTTTATTATCCTTGCTTTTGATATAGAGCCTACAACGTCAAAACCTCTCAAAGTGCTTCACAGGGATTTGTGCACAACACGGGCTTACAAACAGCCATGAAGTAAGTGAATGAAGAATTTTATTTGGGTAATTGTCGGCCATCCGGAGAGAGAAACTCCCTTCTCTTTTTGGATAGTAGCAACTTTAATGCCCACCTGAACAGGCACACGTGTTGGGAACCTCAGTTTATCTTTGACGATGCAGCACTCGCCCTCTCAGTACTGCGCTGTAACGTCAGCCTGGACTGTGAGCTCAAAGCCTGAACCCATAACCTTGTGCCTCTATTACTCTCATTGCTTGACGTAGTGTTACATTTCCTGGTTGCTCACTACAGAATTACCCATTTCACAACATGAAAGGAGTAATCTTGCCTCACAGAAATCGCTTAATAATCTTGGTCTAGGCTAGACTCCATAATCCTCACTTCTACTCCTCACTAGATATTTATCCTACTCATTTTCAGAAGCAATCAAGACAGGATTAACTTCTGCTGGGAGTTCGTCCGGAGTCTCGACGACTTAAAAGGTTATCAGGCCGGATTTGTAACATTGATTTTTCATTTATCCTTTCGCTGTGTGCACGCATAAGCGGTTTGTAGGTTAATTAACTTGGAAGCTCTCCAGAGACTGGGTGTGGATTTATGCTATTGGGTGTGGATTTATGCTATTGGGTCCAGTTGTATTGGCACCACTGTTTCCCCAAAGTGACTTGCAACGAGCACCACTTTGTGAAACCGGGTAGATATTTCACAGAACCTTACAGCACAGAAGGCGGCCATTCGGCCCATTGTGCCTGGGCCGGCTCTTTGGAAGAGCTATCCAACTAGTCCCGCTCCCCCACTGTTACACCATAGCCCTTGCAATTTTTTTCCTTTTCAAGTACCTGTCTAATTCCCTTTTGAAAGCTGCAATCGAGTCTGTTTCCACCACCTTTTCAGGCAGTGTATTCCGGATCGTAACAACTCTCCGTGTAAAAAAAATAATTCTCCTCGTCTCCCCTCTGGATCTTTTGCCGATTATCTTCCATCCGTGTCCTCTGGTTACCGACCCACCTACCAGAGCAAACAGTTTCTCCCTATCTACTCATTCATGTTCGATGGATGAAGAGTTACTGCACTTTGATCGCAAATGGCTGGACATCTTTGAATCCTAAACATTACAGACACCACAGAGGCCACTCAACTCACAGAGCCTGTGTTGGTGATGGTTCCTTCTACTTGGAGTGATCTACTCTATCCCAAATTCCATGCTCGCGACTTACTTTGGATAGTGCCATGGGATCTTTAACATCCACTTAGCCCAGGAGAACCACGGAAATTTACAGCACAGGAGAAGGCACACCTTCAGAATGTGGATTGGCAGACAGGACCTCGGATTAAAGTCTCAATTCAGGATGGAGCATCAGCCAAGATGATATGAGTTCAAAGTCCCAATTGGTGGCTTGAAGCCACAATCTTCTGACTCAGGGAGGCGAGAGTGTCAGCCAGGCTGACAATGATGGGCAGGCTTGGTGGGCTGAATGGCCTCCATCTCTCCCTATTCTTGCTAGTTGGGGGTAAAAAATAATAATGTTGACTTACAGGGGAATCTGGAGGGTTCTCCTCGTCTCTGGAGAAAGAGCTGTTGAACGCCTTGTTGAACGTCTCGCTGTTCTGTTTGTGCTTCTCAATGGTACCTTGGATAACCTGGTGACAGTCGCCGGAAACTTTCAGGACAGGCTTAAGGCAACAGCAAAAAAAAACGTAGAGAGAAAAATTCTCTCTTTTTTTGAAAACAGTAACTTGCATTTGCTTACCTGAATCCAACCTTTCTTTTCCTCCTCAGTCCTACAAAAGATTTGATAAGATAATTGTTTTTTTTTTGCAGGAATTGTTATCCGGTGAAGCTAAATGCCAATTAAAATAAACACAGTCTAAATGTTAAAAAAAAAAGTCTTTGCATTTGCGAATGTTTTGCCCACAAATACGCATTCAAACCACTTTAGGGTATATTCTGTGAAGCGCTTTGTGACGTCTCACTGACGTGATAAGGTACTATATCAAATGCAAAGATTATTATTAGACTTATTACACGAACGCACGGTATGATATACATGACTTGCATAAACACAAGATAAATTTACATTGTCTTCATGCGAAGCATTGTAAGAAATGTGGACTAGAAGGCTGAAGATTGGGATGGATATCATAAACCTCAAACACAGGGGTCAAAATGTGACTTTTAATTTGCCCATCACCGTGTTCAAGAGTATCCAAGCCAAACTGAGATCCCATCTATACATGGAAATCCCAGAGATAGCTTGCTGGAATTTATTTAAATAATGAATTCATTAAATAATAATAATCATAATAATAATAATCCTTGCATTGATGCAACGCCTTATCACATCTTCGAGACGTCTCGAAAAGGGCTTCACAAGAATACACCGTAAAGTGAGTTCACTGTATACTCCGTGCAATCTGCGAAATGCGGCAATCGGTTGCACACGGCATAAATTGACATTCCAGAGATAAATTGATTAATTCCATTCCAGATTTGGAACACGTGCCGAAACATTGATCTTTTCACCCCAAAGTTGACCGGGATTTATTTGTGTATCTTGTTGTCTATTTTTGCGGAGATGTTGCTTGAGAGTGACGGCAGGTGTCTCACATACCTGGCCTGAAGTTCTAAAGATCTCTGCTTCCCTGTTATTGTGAAGGTGTGAGTCGCGCTCTGCTTGCCAATTTCTTGCACCTGGAGAACAGAATCGCGACTGCGTCACTCAACATAAAACCGCACAACAGCAGCAACCATAAATAACATTTACACAGCGCCCTTCCCGTCGGGAAGACGTCCTAAGGCGCTGGACACAGTCAAAGGATTTGGACCTGAGCTGGGGATTGGGATCAGGAGGGGTGAAGGGCAGGAAGGGTGGGGGCAGGAGGGTCTTGAGACGTGCCCTGAAGGAGCAAGGGAGGGCGGTGGGGGGGGGGGCGAGGCAAAGGGACTGCTGGATGGCGTTCCAAAGGGTTGGGGAAGAGAGGCTGAAGGCCTGACAGCCAATGGTGGGGCGGACCGGGCGGGGGACGTGGGAGTAGGCCGTAGCTCGCTGTGCGGAGGGAGCGGACGGGTCTGTATGGAGTTGGCAGGTCACAGGGGTAGGGAGGAGCAAGGCGTAGAGGACTTTGAAGGTGAGGACGAGAATTCTGAACTCTGAGGGAGGACATACACCCCGAGAACTGCAGCGTGTTAAATGAGAAGAGCACTTCAGGACAAAAGAGAGATGTCTCACCGACCTGCATGCCTGCTATGTCAATCCTCTCCCTCACACTGAACTTCTGCCCCATCAGCCGGAGTTTCGGCACGCAGTACAGAACCATGTTGTTGAACTGCAGATAAAAAAAGAGTCGGTGGTTCAATTGGATGTTCCTCAGCTTCAGATTGAGACACGTCGATTTCAAATGGGATTCGTCCCACAATCAGGGAGCTCAAGCACAGGGTGGGGGTTGGGGGGGGGAAGAGAGAGAGGAGGGGGGAAGGGGAGAGAGAGGAGTAGGGAGGAACGGAGAGGGGACTCCCGACTGGTGACAGAAAGCACGTCACACAAGCGATCTCCCCTCTCAGGAGCGACGCTCTGAAAGTTGATCCAAGTTTCCGTGAGTCAATGTGAGATAAGGAGACATCATCCGAAATCTCTGCTCTCCATCGAAACTGCCCACCTCCCCCACCCGCTTCCTCTCCGCGCTGTCCACATCCAGATACAATGGCTTGGGGTGAAGTAATTATGTCACAACACACAAGGCGTTCCCATCTCAGTGACAAGAAGCCCAAACCAGTAGAGGCCAAACCATCCCACGTATTAAGGGAGCCTAGCAATGGGCCGAGACTCCTGGAAAGCCAGTCACAGAGGGGCCCTACTCTCTGATGGGAAGGAGAAAAATGGGGAGAAAACAGATGCGGTACGAATGCCGGGCTGACTTACCACGAAGAGATAACGGTCTTGTGCAGAACCATTTTTCGCCGATAGTTTTTGGATCTGCCCTTCTTTTATAAGTTCGTTGGCCGGGTTCACAATGTCCGCCTCTCCCCCTAGCCTCTCGTACACCTCCAGCAGTTTGTGCATCTTTTCCTGCGGGCGGAAAGGAACAACGCTCGACGCAGGAACAAATCAATAATAATCCTCGCATTTGATACAGCGCCCTATCGCTCCGTCGATTGTGCTGCTGCTGCGTTTGCCTACAAATACACTGTCACTCCGTTTCACAGTAATTCCTGTGAAGCCCTTTGAGACGTCCTTGCCGTAAAGTGGTGTGACTGGGTGGAGGTATTTTGTTGGGCAAATACGGCAGACGGTTTCACACAGCACAGCAATGTCATGAGAGCATGAGAAATGCTAAGACGAGAAAAGTCCAAGGTCCATCTAGTTCCCCTTTCACCTTCCTGGTGTTCGCTGGCAATTATAATAATAATAATAATAATAATAATAATAATAATCCTTGCATTTGATACAGCGCCTTATCACGGCTTCGAGACGTCTCAAAGCGCTTCACAGCACATACTGTAAAGCGAATTGACCGTATATATTCGTGGGCGAGCTACAGGACTCCATAATGTCCCACAAACAGCCATGGAGCGTAAACAGGTAACACCCGTCGCACCTGTCCCACTTGTGCTCAGACACGAAACGTGAAGAGTGACGATTCCCGCGGCGCTGACCTTCCCTGAGCTCCGCGAGTGTTTTTTTCCGAACCGTTTTGAAACTCAGCTCAATGCTGCAAATAATTCAAACCACACCACTTCGGTCCGCCGCTAGATGGCGGAGTTTGCCGAGGAGCAAAATGCCGACAAGACAAACCACACCAAACCAAACCGGATCGGTTCCAATTCCTACCTCAAACCTTTGAAAGGAAAGTCTTTGGAAGGAAAGTCGCCTTAAGTGAGCAAAACACAAGCAAAGTTAAGGGTCTTCACCACCTAGTTATTACAGGCACAAAAACACAGCTTGACCGTTGTTATTCGGTGGGTGGGGGGGGGGGGGGGGGGGGGTGGGGGTGTGGGCAGTATTTTAGGGGCAGAACAGCTTTATTGGGGCGACTGAGATGAAAATCCAAACTGAGTTTATTTCAGAATAATAGTAATAATCCTTGCATTTGGTATAGCGCCTTATCACATCAGAAAGATGTCTCAAAGTGCTTCACAAGATTTACTGTGAAGTGAAATGACTGTGTATTTGTAGGCAAACGTGGCAGTACAAATGCACACACCAATGTCCCACAAAACAGCCATGGAGTGAGTGACCATTTTTATATTTGGGTGATTGTTAGACAGAGCACAGCGAGAAACTCCCTTATAAAGAAACTCCCCAAAGATAAACAAATTGAGCCTTTGAGTTAATGCCAAACTTGTTACAAGTCAACTAAAAGATACCAGGGAAATACGACTGCAATAAATAGTTTTCTTACGAATTCTGAATTTTAACTGAATAGGGTTGATAATGAATATAACTACCGAGCTATGTACGTGCAGGTGTTAGAATGATCAAATCTGAGTGCTGCTAGTTTAGTGCGAATAATCTTTTTTCGCACGGAATCCATTCATAAAAATTGCACATTCCAAATCCTTCCACGTACCGACAACCAAATTGTTTACTGGAACGTTGCCTTGAAATATCTTCTTACTTATGTCACGCGTGTGTAAAAACAATGCCAACTGTGAGCTTAAGTGACTAAGTGACTAATCTGTTGACGGTCAGCTACCAGATCTGCAGATCTTAAAAAGATACGTCAAGGGACAGGACAAGAGTGATGCAGTCAAAGGAGAGAAAAAAAATCTGTCTGCTAAATAAATGCTACGCATTCTGCAGGAAATACTAATCACTTCCTTCGCTGATATTTCTGCAGTGACTCATTTATCTGTACCGGGAAAGGAAGTAACTCTTGTTAAAAAAAAAACTGTGAAAGTAGCCCGTTACAATGCTGGGTACAGCGTCTGGGCAAAGAGGTGAAGGTTGTTCTTTATCCAAACCTTCTCTTTATCCAAACCTTCCCTCCCTTCATCGGTCTACCCCACACATACACACACACACACGCCACTCATCTTACCTCGAGATAAAGGTTATCTTTATCCTTAGGGTATAAGGTAGATATGAAAAATCCCATGAATCAGTGATCCACGTGACACTTCAAATAGATTACCAATGGTAGACTCACCTTTACTTCACAGGACAGAAGACAATGTCTCTGTCCAGGTTTCCTTCTGAAGCTCTTTGGCGATAAATTTTGAAACACACACACACACACACACACACACCCACACACCCTCTACGCCGCCCCTCCCCAATCTCCCGTTGGCCAGGTAACTTATCTCTGAAAGAGACACCATTTTGGATGGTTGGACCATACCATTAAAGGACCTGGGATGGTGGGTTGGTTTAATGGGACCAAGTCTCAAAGTGCTGTGCTTTGTCCTGTCCAGCGTGGGAGCTAGCCCGAAGCATTTGGAAACACAAAGGCACCTTCTCCTGCTGCACCTCATCTTAGCCCCCGTTAGTCAGGACGTTTTGCCTTTAAAATACATTGCTCTACGACCCGAAACTCCATAACCCTCTATCCCTCCGTCTTTCCCCCATTCCTTCCCCATCTTCAGGTCGCGCCTAAAGACCTTCCGCTTCGACCGTGCCTACGGTCACTTTCCTCCTCCCCACCCCCCACCCCTTCCCCCGCCGCCCGGCTCGACGTCAGGCTCCACCACTGTCAAGCGCTCTGGGAGGGGGGGGGTGGTGGTTACTCTGCGTGAGGGACCCGATATAAATATAAAGTTGTTGCTGTTGTTGTGTTGGACCTTTGGCGTTTCGACCAAAGGAACTGAGCTGGGGGCATTTCCGAAATGCACAACCCGGTTCAAACTAAACATGAGGCGGTTGTCTCCAACATTAAATTTAGCTTCCAGGAACTTGCGTGTCTGCTTCAGACTGGGCTGTTTCTCTGTCGGTAAATTACAATGTGTAATAATTGCTCAACAGCACTGCAGCTTCACTCACCATCTTTCTAATTGCTACGTTGGAATGGTTGGCGGCCGTTGAAATGAGCTCCAGCGACTCTGAAATGAAAAGAAGTCAATGTAAAGATGGCTTTCACAACAAACAGCCACCAGGTGAATGAGGGATTCAGTGTATGAGAAACGTGAGGCATGACATATAGTAAACGTAGTGTGGCTCGGAAGAACCAGGCAACTTGGGATCTAAGGTTCCCAAAGCTTTCCGTACAGAATTAATTGCTATCAACATCACCATTATTGTAACATGTGATTACCAGGACGGCAGAAGGTGAACTAGATGGACCTTGGTCTTTTTTCGTCCAGCAATTCCTATGTGAATGCTGGATTTATCTGGGTGGGGGTTACTGCCCAGGATATTGGGAGAAACTCCCTTCTTTTTCCTAATTGCTTTGCAGGGAACAGATAGCCAACAAATCATCCCAGGGATAGTACCACTGACAACGCCCTCCCTCCCTCCCTTCCTGCACTGCGTCGGTGCATCAGGATAGACCGTGAGCTCAAAGTCCTGATGTGAGGCTTGAACCTACAAACCAACTTTCCAGCCCCAGAGGCGAGAGCGTGAGCGACTGAGCCAAGTTGACACGCCAGCCTCAGAGTGTGTAATGCAACGGCAGGCAAAGGAACGTATTAAAACCACCCTATTAATTGCTCAGCGTTGAAGGAAACTCAAAATATTTTTGGACACAAATGCACAAAGAGCACGTTGCCGTCAAAACAGAAGAGGGGAACTTTTTTTTAAGATATATTTCCATATAGACAAGAGGTCGTGTCTCACTCTCTGCGTCCTTCCTGTCCAAGGAGTCTCCAGGCAATTTCTTCAAGTAATCTTTCAGGAGCAGCTCGTATCGGGGAATTCTCTGCACTGGCTCCAACATGTGATGTTGCAAAGTCAAGTTGCCGCAAACGTCTTGCTTCTGTTAAACCAAATGTTATAAACGAGAACCTATTACAAGCGTTAACCAATTCTCGTCATCGTAATCCTTGCATGCGATACAGCGCTCACTCCATTCCAACAATCTATCTCTAGGATCTTCCACGTGTGGGTGGGATGCGTGGAATTCTCTGTTTAGTTTGGATACTCTTAAACATGGTGATGGGTTTCCGCCTGTGTCAAGACACCTGGCCGACCCCCCCCCGACCCCCCCCAAAAAAGCACAACGCTTTTCCCGCGTCCTTGAGACACCTCATGGCGCTTCATAGGACTTTACTGCGAAGTGTAGTGCCTGTGTATTTTGTAGGCGAACGCAACAGCCAACAGAAACGTCCCACAAACAGGCACGAAGCGAGTGACCGATTTTAATTGGGGGGATTGTCGGCCGGGAGAGAGAATCTCTCCCTTCTCGTTTCGAGCAGTGCTGCGGGATCGTTTGACGTCCACCTGAACTGGGCAAAGATGGACCTGTTCTAACGTCTCCTCAGAAGGACATTGTCTCCCAACGATCCCGCTCTCCTCCCAGCCTGGACTGTGAGCTCAAAATCCCTGATGGGGGAGCCCAAACCACAAAACCTTCTGACTCAGAACCGAGAGTCCAACCAACTGAACAAAGCTGATAAATATTTTTTACCTCACCCCCCCCCACCCGCCCCCTCCCCGTGCCCCACTGTAACAGCAGAGACCCGAAATTCCACCTAATCATAGCCTGTGGGATCATTTGGTCTTGGAAGTGTAAGATAGTGGGAAATTCTCTAATCCGGGTTTACTTGGAACCCTTTTGAAGAACCCCATAGAACAACATGGCCGTCAAATTATAATAATAATAATTTTTCTCGATACAACGCCTTCTCATGCCGACGAGACGTCTCAAAGGGCTTCACTTCGACACGTCTTAAGAGCGAATTGAAGAGTTCCGCCCCCAGTTCTGCCCCGTGTTAAACTTTAAGCCCAAACATTCTGGTGACATGAGGCTAACGTGAGTTGAAACGTGAAGCCAGGGACTGACACAGGGAGTACAGGCGTGTCTCTGGTGTGTCACAAAGAGACCTGCTCTGATCTGAGTCATCTGATGTCTGATGTTTGCTTTCTATTGTTGGCCAGGAGACAGGGAGAAAGTCCCGTCTCCTCTCACAGGTATTTAATTCCACCTGAAAAAGGCAGGCGGGGTGGCGGGTGCAAAGTCTCACTAACACACGCCCTCGCCGGGTCAAGGGAAAAAAAACACGACTGTTTCTAAATATAAGATATTTACAAAATTATTTATACTGTAAGAATAATAATCCTTGCATTTGATACAGCGCTCTATCACGCCGTTGAGATGTCTCAAAGCGCTTCACAGGGTATACAACAACAACAACAACAAGATTCCATTTATAGAGCGCCTTTCCCGTCGGGAGGACGTCCCAAGGCGCTGTACAGTTGGGTCAGGACCCGAGCATTGGGGGGAAATGGTCAGGGTGAGGGGAGGGAGGGGAGGGAGCGAGGAGGGGGGAAATGGTCAGGGTGAGGGGAGGGAAGGGAGGGAGCGAGGAGGGGGTAGAGAGTCGAGAGGGGAGCTGAAGGTACGGTCAAAGAGAAAGGCCTTGAGACCGGCCTTGAAGGAGGAAAGGGAGGAAGAGGCGAAGGCACTGGGGATGGAGTTCCAGAGCCTCGGGGCTGAGAGGCTGAAGGCCACCGATGGTAGGGCGGTTGGGGCGGGGGATGTGGAGCAGACCGGAGCCAGAGGAACGGAGGGTACAGGCAGGTAAGTAGGAGGATAGCAGGTCGGAGAGGTAGGAGGGAGCGAGGCCGTGAATGGCCTTGTAGGTGAGGATGAGGATCTTGAAATCGATCCTCTGGGGGATGGGGAGCCAGTGGAGGCGAGCGAGGGCGAGGGCGAGGGTGAGGGCGAGGGTGAGGGTGGGAGTGATGTGGTCGCGGTGTCTGGTGCGGGACAGTACACGAGCTGCAGAGTTCTGAATGACCTGCAGCTTGTGGAGGGAGGTGGCGGGAAGGCCGGCGAGGAGAGAGTTCCCATAGTCCAGCCTTGAGGTGATAAAGGCGTGGACCAGAGTTTCAGCAGCGTGAGGGGTGTACTGTAAAGTGTAGTGACTGTGTATTTTGTGGGTGAAACACGACAGCCAATTGCGCACAGCAGCGTCCGCACAAACAGCCGTGGTTTGAGTGACCAAATTATTATTTTTGGCGGGATTACCCTTCCTGGAAAGCGATCCTCCAATTGACTAACAGGACGCCAGAGTAACTGGAGAAATATCAGGGTTAATGCTCAGCGCTAGACTTCCTCTTTAACCAGGCACAGAGACAGAGCAGTAACAACCGTGGGAAAGTGGGTTCACGCTGGCTTCCTGTCTGGCGGAGGGTAGGAGCTCACAATAAAGTGTTTCCACGGCACGCAGAGAAAACAGATCAGTAATTTAGGGTCACAGCCCACAGGAGGCGTGTTAACAGCACGACGACGACAATTTTACATTCACGACGTGTCAGGAGGATGTCTCGAAGCGCTTCACCCCAGTGAGTTCGGTGGGGGTTTGGGTGGGAGCAAAAGCGCTGGTGAAAAGAACGGTCTTAAGGTGGGGATTAAAGGTGGGGAGGGAGGGGACGAGGCGGAGGGTCTCTAGGGTGGAATTTCAGTGAGTGGGGACAGAATGGCTGAAAGCTCGCCCGCCGATGGTGGGTCAGGTCGGGTTGGGTGCGGGGGCACGGAGCAGGTTGGGGTTCGCTGAGCGGAGTGGGGAGGGAGAGGACTCGGGGAGGCTGACCTGAATGCTCTGGATGACGGATTTGAACTGCGATGACCTCTGGGTGCAGGAGTTGACCAGGTCCATCGCCCGGTCAAAGTTCTTCACGTACTCCCCGTACATCTTGAGGAAAGGGGCCAGCTTCTGGAGAATGTCGCCGATCCGAGGGTTCTTGTCCCTGTGGGGAACACGCAAAACAGAACACTCAATCCTTTGGCCAAGATTGGGTTGCGAAGGCCACAAAGCTTCAGGGAGGAGGATGTTGGGCGGGCAGAGGCAGAGGCAAAGGCAAAGGTAAAGGAGAACTCTGCCCACCACAGGGTTGGCTCAGAGAGAGAGAATAATATTAATAATCCTTGTTATTATTATTATTATTATTATCAAGAGAGATAGAGAGAGATATCTCTTAGAAAGTCCTCCAGCCATTTATTCTCCACCTGCCAAGATACGCACGCTAGTGTGAACCGAGATCGCTAGATTTTTAAAAACTAAAGGGATTAAGGGATGTGGGGATAGGGCGGGTAAATGGAATTAGGTTAGAAGATCAGCCATGATCTTATTAAATGGCAGGGCAGCCTCGAGGCGACGAATGGCCTACTCCTGCTCCTATTTCTTATGTGCTTATGAACGGTAACTCTCTCTGTCACTCACTCTCTTTCCCCCCCACCCCCCCCCCCCCGCACACACACATGGACCTTGGTCCAGTGTGTTGGACTGGCTGCCTCGCTCAGAAATGAAATGAAATGGGCCAAAAAATCATGTATTGTCGGCGCGAGTTACGAAATGGGAGTTTATGATGTCCAGTGGCAGCGTCCACCAGATGTCAGAGTGACCACCAGTGAATGACTCCCCCACCACCCCCCCGACCTCACCCCCAAACCCACCCACATTCCCCAAACCCACCCACCTCCCACCGACCCAACAGAAGCTTCGGTCAACCGTCCGTGACCCTGAAACTGACCAGTAATGGAGACTCTGGGATGCCGTTAAATAATCAGTATAAGCCTTGCATTTGATACAATGCCTTAACACGTCGTTGAGCATCTCAAAGCGCTTCACAGGATATACTGTAAAGCGTAGTGACTGTGTATTTTGTCAGTGAAACTTATTTTTTCCTTTCAAGGTTTTCAGGGGACGATCTGCCCTCAGTTGGATTTTGCTCTTGCTCACCATTCCTCTGTGATCCTCGTCTTTATCTCCGGCAGCAGGAACTGGTCATGGAAGCGGTAGATGGACGAGATGTTGGAGAAGATGCCGGTGATGACATCGTGCTGAATGCCAGCTTCGTTCAACTTTGTGCAAAACACCTGCTCAACGGGACACGGACAGGATAAATAAAATAAACATCATAATCTTCGTCACTTTTAAAGCCCTCCACGGTCTTGCCCCACCTTTGCCCTGTGACCTTCTAAAACGTTGCCAACGTCCCTGCTCCTTCCGCTTGGTGGACACTGGTCTGCTCCACCTCCCCAGTCCACCATCAAGGTTCGAGCCTTCAGCCTTTCTGCTCCAAACCTTCTGGAACCGTATCCCTGAGTGCCTCCACCCCTTCCTTACCTGTTTTAAGGCCATCTCAAGACCCTCTTCTTTGACTGCGTTTTCAGTCATCTTCCCATCTCTCTTGAATACACCCCACTACCGAAGGCACGGTCAAAGAGGAAGGTCTTGATATGGGCCTTCAAGGAGGAAAGGGAAGGGGTGAGGCAGAGGGGTTACAGGATGGCATTCCAGAGAGTGAGGGACAGAAAGACTGAAGGCCTGACCACCGACACGGGGCGGGCAGAGTCAGGAACATGGAGCAGGCCAGTGCGGAAGGAGCGGGCAGGTTGCGATGGTTTTGGTAAATTGCAGAGGTAGGGAGCAGCAAGACCACAGACAGCTTTAAAAGTGTAGTGACTGTGTATACAAAGGTGCACGCAGCAGTCCAATTGCGTGCAACATGCCTGCACTGTGAGCTCGAAGCCCCCCCCCCCGATGTGAACCCAGCACCTTCCAACCCAGAGACAAGAGCTCCCATGTACTCAAGCCACGTCGCAAACAGTTCAGAGTTTGTCAAACCTCAAATGTTTTCTCAGCAGAGTGAAGAACGAGTTGGAAAGTTTGACAAATCTCAGTGTTGAAGACTCAGCCGCCTCCTCTCCTCCCCCCCACCCCAAAAAAAAAACATGTCACCAGCTTTGCCTCGTGACAATTCCTTTCATTTAAAAAAGAGTGAAACTCAATCCAACTCCCACTCGTTCACAGAGAAGACTCTAAACCGTGTAAACTTCCCCTCACCTGATCCAGGAGGTGAAGCCTCTTCACATAGGCTTCCTCTGTGTGAAGAAGCTCGTTGGCGATGTTGAACAATTTCTGGGGTTCTGTGCACTGCAACGAAAAAAGGGCGAAAAGCTCACGTTTCCGGGTCAAGTGCTTCCCGAGTCCCGGAGCGTCGTGGTTAGAGCTCTCGCCTCGCAAGCGAGAGGACCGGGGTTTGATTCCCTGGGGCGGGGCGAAACCTTAGACAAGTTTCTTTACTCCACACGCCTCTGTTTACGCAGCAGTAAGTTGGAATCTGGTTGTTAGTCGATTGGGGGAGGAAATCGCTTTCCGGTGGTAATAAACCCTTCAAAAAAAAAAATGATCACTCAATCCACAATTGGGAGGACACATTTGGCTGTCGCGTTTCGCCCACGAAATACACTGCCAATCCACTTTACAATATATTCTGTGAAGCACGTTGAGACGCCTCAACGACGTGATAAGGCGCTGTATCAAATGTAAGGATTTATTATTGTTATAGTATGATTATTTATTATCATTTGAGAAGCCGGGCATCGGTCGGGAGAAAGCTGGTCACTCCATCAGAATCCCGGCCAGCGTTAAGCCAAGCATCAGCTCTTCCCTCTCTTGCTCAGAGAGCTGTCGATAGGGGCGTTTAAACGAGAAATACACAAGAGACTTAGGCGGCGGAGGTGTTAAGGGATGTGGAGGAAAGGCAGGGTGTTGGAATCAAAAGATCTGCCGAGATCTAATAAACTGGTGGAAATGGCCCAATGGGCTGAATGGTCTCCTCCTTATTATTAATATAATAATAATACGCACAGAGGGACAGACAGACGGACGGACAGGCACGGTCTCTCTTGCTGTGTTTGCCCGTCGTGTCTGGAGTCTGAAACCATTTTTTTTTTGTTGTGTTGTGGTTTCAGAAAAGTAATCTTTGTTTCCTGCGCTGACAGGATGTCTCGCTCAAGCATTTATAGGTGCTTCTGAACAGCGCACACACGAGGGTTCTTATTTTAAAACAGAGAGAAAGCTGCGGACATTATTTCTCGGCAGCTTAAGTGACCGGCTCTAAATTTGACGCCTGCTCCTGCCTATTTCGGTCTATTCTCTCCCCGATGTGCGTGACCCCAATGCCAAGGCCTGGTTAAAATAACAGACAGATAGACAGACAGAGAGAGAGAGAGAGAGGAAAAAACACAAACACTCCTCTCTTTGTTTCGCTCTCAATTAACTTCTGCATTGTGGCAGTCACCACATCCTATCTCGATTCAAAAAATTCTGCTCCTCATCATTATATTGAGGGCAGACTGATGGATTTACAGCTTTGATCGAGATGATAAAAGCTCATCCTCTCCTCCCCTGCCCTCCTCCCCCGACCCCACAGAAATATCAAAACGCTAGCATTATTATTTGTAATAACAACTTGCCTTTCAGGTCTGGAGGAAGTCCCAAGGTGCTCAACAGTTAAGGGTTTGCACCTGAGCTTGGGGTTGGGATCAGAGAGGGTTGGAGGGCAGGTGGAGTGGAGGAGGAAGATGACTGAAAGCACAGTCGAGGAGGAAGGTCTTGAGATGGTCCTTGAAGGAGCCGAGGGAGGGGGTGAGGCGGAGGGGTTCCCGGATGGAGTTTACAGAGGGAGGGGGCAGAAAGGCTGATAGTGGAGCAGGCAACAACAACAACATTTACACAGTACCTTTCACTTCGGGAGGACGTCCCAAGATGCTGGACAGTCAGGGATTTGGACCCGAGCAGGGGGTTGGGATCAGGAGGGGTGGAGGCAGGGAGAGTAGGGGTAGGAGGGTGGCCAAATGCACGGTCCAACAGGAGGATCTTGAGATATGCTTTCTGCAGAGATCTGGATGATCTGCAGTTTGTGGAGGGAAGAGTTGGGAAGGCCGACAAACAGGGAGTTGGTGTAGTTGAGCCTAGATGTGCTAAATGTCTGGATGAGGAGCACCAGCACAGACACGATGGGGTGAGAGCAGGGAGATAGGGTTAACAAGATGTCTAATCATCCTGCGAGCAAAGTGATTGAAGGAAGGGACCAGGGGTGGGAGGACTCTTCTCCGAATTCCTCCAAGCAAGAGCCTGACACTGAAATGTTTGTTGCAGCAATAACTTTCCTCTCGCTCAACCGCAGAGAGCTCATAAAATGGTATTAGTGAAACCTGGAACAGTCTCAAACCTGAAGACCACAAAATCCCATGACTTCACACTCGCAGCAAGAATCGTGCTTCATGTGGAGTCTGAAGGTCAGACTCTAGCCACTACACCCGAAACTCTGGAACACTATCTCTCAATCCCTCTGCCTTGCAGCCCCCCTCTCCCCTTTTTCAAGTCCTGCCTGAAAACTTTCCTTTTTCGACCGCACTTACGGTCACTTCCCCCACCCCCTCCTCCTCGGCTCGGAGTCAGGCTCCACCGCTGCGTGAAGGGTGCTACATAAATGCAAGTTGTTGGTGTTGTCTGGGCTCACTGCCTCCCAGATAGCTTTACATGTCGATGGGAGCGAGTCTCTCCTGGTGGCTCATTGGATGGTGTGAGACTGGGTCACGCACACGAAAGCCATCACTTCAACCCCATTCGTTTCGTGCTGGGGGGAGAACCTGATCTCAGCCAGTGCACTGAGCTGGCCTAGGTACCCCTGGGCAAGGAGTGGGGAGGAGGGAGGGGTGAGGGGAAGGGAGGAAGAACCCTTTACAACCTCCCCGGAAACTGGACAAGGTCGCACGAGAACACGAGAGGAAGGACGCTGGTTTGGAAGCCGTCACATCAAAGCGCTCCAATGGTTAACCTGCTGCGTGAAGCCCTCTATATAAATACAAGTTGTTGTCGGCGAACTTTCAGCAACATTTTGACATCACAATTTCTGGGGACAGGGGCGGGAAGGAAAACGAGAAAGAAATACAGAACAAAAACAAAACTCCTCTGTGAGGCCACTCAACTCTCTTGCACGCTGTTAATTCCTGTGTCTGGTTGTAAGTACCTACATTAGCCTCAGATTTCTGTACTTAGCCAGAGGGGTAAAAGCGCTATCTCTTAAAATAGTTTTATTGTGAAGGTCTGGCTCACCGCTCGGCTGCAATTACACGCCTACACTGATGTCTATTTCGTTTGCTGGCAGTTTGACGGCAAATTGTAAGATTCTTTTCGATCCTATTTCTGTACCTTGGTGGTTTCTACCCCCGCCTCCACCCCCACTCGCTCGCCCTCCCTCCTCAACCCGGTCTGCCTCCCTCTTCGATTTTGCACACGGTAAATTGTCGTGCGCGGGACCGACAATGGTTTACGTCTCTCGCGACAACCAGAATTACATCGGGTCGTGTTATGATAATAATAATAATAATCCATGCATTTGATATGGCGCTTCATCACATCGTTGAGGCGTCTCAAAGCGTTTCGCGGGATACACCGCAAAATGAAATGACTGTGTATTTTGTGGGCGAAACGCGGCAGCCAATTGCGCATAGAAGCGTCCCCGCAAACAGTCATGGATTGAGTGACCCCATTTTTTCCCCCCCTGAAGGATTATTACCCCCGGAAAGAAATCCGCCAATCGTCTAACAACTGGGTTCCTGCTTACTGCTCGGTAAACAGAAGTGTGGGTGCGCGGAGGAAACCCAAGTTGTCACACCCCCCGGGAATCGAACCTGGGTCCTCTCGCTTGCGAGGCGAGCGTTCTAATCAAAGGACTCCAGAGCTCTGATCTTGACTTGAGAGAGGACAGCAAAGAGCAATTAGAAATGGCAGCTGGAATCTGAGACCTGAGTCACAGGATTATGGAAACCGGGAACTGATGGGAGAGGAACCCTCAGGGGAGATTTTATTGAAGTGTTCAAGTTGCCAAAGGGTATAATAATAAGATGAATTTGAATCTGTTTCAACACGGTCAGAAAACCTGGGGCGAGGGAGTGGGTGGGAGGAGGTGGGGGATGGTGGGGGGGGGGAGTGAAGGACACACTCGGGCTCAGAAGAGAAGACGAGCAGAAATTTCGGGTTAAACTACACCGGGCAGAGAATGGACGGTCCATGGAGGAACACCGCGTCGGCAGATTCAATAATAATCCTTGCATTTGATTACAGCGTCTTATCACGTCTCATGAGATGTCTCGAAGCGCTTCACAGAATACAGCGGCAAGTGGAGTGACTGTATTTTGTGGGTGGAAACGCAGCAGCCAATTGCGCACAGCAGTGTCCCACAAACAGTCTCGGATTGAGACTCAAGAGGCAATTAGTTGGGTATTTGGTGAGTTAGTCAACCCAAGGCTACAAGAGATACTCATAATCCTTGTATTTTGATACAGCTCCTTCTCACATCACCGAGATGTCTCAAATTGCTTCATAGGGTTTTACTTTCAAGTAACAGTGACAGTGTAATTGTTGGTGAACCCGGCAGCCAATATTTTGTGCACACAAACAGCCATGGAGAGAGTTGACTAATTTTACTTGGGGGAACGTTGACCGGGAAGCCGGAAGAAATTCTAATCCTCTTTTCCGACAGCGTCAGGAGATATATACCTGAACAGGCACAGACGGGTCCTCGGTTTAAGTTCTTACCCGCAGGTCGGCACCTCTGACAAAGCAATATGCCCTCCAGCACAGCGATGCTCCACAAGCAGTCGTGGATTGGGTGACCAAATTATCATTACTTTTTTTTTAAAAAAAGAGATTATTACCCCTGGAAAGGTTCCTACTTACTGCTGGGTAAACAGAGAGGCGCGTGTGCTTGCGTGTGTGGAGTGAGAAAACTTGCCTAAGGTTTCGCCCCGGTCGGGAATCGAACCCGGGATCCTCTTGCTTTGCGAGGCGAGTGCTCTCACCGCTGAGCCACAGGGACTTCCTGGAAATGAGATGGACGGAACTCGAGGAGGCTCCTTACCTTGGTGGCTTCCGGCTGCTCGGCCTTGGGCAGTTCGGGCGGCTCGTTCTCCTCGCTGCTGCCGTCGTCCATGTCGCTGTCGTCTTCCTCCTGGGTCGAGTCGCGTTTGGGTTGGGTCTCCGGCTTCGCCTCCATGTCGGTCTCGCTCTCGGTGCCAGGGCGCGAGCCCTTCTTGTCCTCCGCCACCCCTTCTTCGTTGGGGAAGCCCTCTCCGTCCCCGCTGCATGAGGGGCTGTCGATGCCGCTGTCCCGGTTTGGGATCTTTCCGTTCTGCTCCAGGCTGGACTCGCCGTCCTCGGCCCGGTTGCCAGTCTCGCCGTCCGTGCTGACGGAGACGCAGTGGCTCTCCTTGCGCTCGCTCTCCGGCAGGTCCTTCATGGTGACCAGGTTGGACTTGGAGTGCTCGCTCACGTCCATGCTGACCTCGGCCTGGCTGGCGCCCGCCTCCTCCTCACCGCTGGGAACCTCCGCAGATTCCGACGGCTCCGGCTCTGGCTCGGAATCGGGAGGGACGCACTCGGAGGAGCCCTGCGCCGAGGGCTCCATTCTCAGCGTCAAATTCAACTGGTTTCTGCCCGCAACCTCGAGGCTCGGCTTCCTGGAGGGACAAGAGAGAGCGAGCGGGGTGAGTGGCGTCGGGCGGCGAGTAAATCTAATTGTATTTCGCCCACAACATATACAGTCACTTCACTTTACAGCGTATCCTGTGAAGTGCTTTGAGACGTCTCGAAGACGTGATCAGGCGCTGTATCAAATGTGAGGATTATTATTATTATTATTATTATTATTATTATTATTATTATTATTATTATTATTATTATTATTATTATTATTATTATTATCATCACCTGCTCACATCACATATATATGCTGTATTCACCCACACACACACCTTCCGTCCCCCTCTTCCCAATGTCAATCGGCGAACGGATTAAACGGGGATCCAGGAAGAGACGATTTCCACACATTTCAACCTCCTTTTTGGGGGAGAAATTTACACGGTTGTTGCTGTTGTTGTTGTTGTCAAGTCATGAGCGATGTCACTTCCTGCGCACAGAACGTGCATCGGAAGTATCTCTGACATCAAATGTAAGGATTATTATTATTATTATTATTATTATTATTATTATCATTATTATTATTATTATGTTCCCGAGTTTATTAATTTTGAGATATATATATGTATTATATATCCCCCAAAATGCTCTTCGGACAAGTTCAGAGTAGCAAAGGCCGTGTGGTGTAAGAAGCAACTAACTCAAGGTGTGAAAAATTCTATGTGTAATAATTATCACACCCTGTGTCACGCCTTTTTTTTGCAGCTGTATGAATAACCCCCGAGGCCCAGACAGATACAGCGATCATCCGCGGGGGGACTTGTCACTCACATTAACCCCCAATGCCTCGGGGCAAATATTTTTGGACTCATTTAAGCCGCTCTCAGTTCTGTGTTGGATTCTATTATACGGCTAAACACTAATCCGTTCTAATACACCAATATGATGACTTGTCTCTCATCCGAACTGTTGGAAGTTATAACATATAACGATGATGATAATAATAATAATAACCTTTGCATTTGACACCGAACCTTATCACGCCATCGAGACGTCTCAAGGCGCTTCACGGGATTTCACCTTGAAGCGTAGTGACTGTGCATTCGTAGGTAAACATGACAGCCAACATGCACGAAGCAGCAGCAGCAAAAGAGATGGGAGTTCAGATGAATCCACTTCCCTAATGTCTTATTCACATTCAGTCAAGACCTTGAATTCAGACAGAAACTTAATTCTCAAATACTTTTCGTAAGTGAAATGCACTTATAAGAATCCTTGGATTTGACTCAGCGCCTTATCGTGTCATCGAGACATCTCAAAGCGCTTCGCAGGATACACAATAAAGAGGAATTACTGCGTATTCTGTGGTTGAACACTTGTCATAAAAAGAGACGAAAGTCCACGGGTAAAAAAAAAACGGACTTTTTTTAAAAAAAAAAGTTTGCAGAAAGTATCGTTAAGCTTTTGACACAGGACTTCGAAGATTTACGACAGGAATAAGTTATTTTTTTCCGGGGCTTCTCGTGAAGTACGTGGGGGCGGGGGTAATCAATTCTCTTGAACTCACTGGCGGTAACGAAATGAACCCGAGCCCTCTCTCTTCCCCCTTCTCACCTCCCACCCCCCACCAAAAAAAATCGCCAAGATCACAATAACAATCGCAGGACGTGCAGTGGGCGGGTGGATTTTTTTTTTTTTTTTTACCTGACGCTTTCAAACCTCTCGATGAGCAAGGAGACACAGGGCAAGGCTGGCTCTCCTTTGATCTCGGTCTTGGCAGAGTTGGCAGGTCTGGGGTCAGCTGGTAAGGGCCTGGTCGGGGCTGGCGGGATGAGCTGGAACACTCCCTCTTGGCACAGGCTCTGAAGGTGGAGGGGCTTAGGAGGTACTGAGCCAGACGACAAACAACAACAACAACAACAAAACACGAAAACACAGTTACTTTCAACGTCCCCAGCGTTCCTCCTCACAGCGGGCTGCTTCGTCTCTTTGTTGCCGTTAAGAGAAAAAAATACCGTTCGGTTCTCGCAAGCATCTCCCTGGGCGAGCAAGTCAAGTCTCAGGGCTCGGTATTGCTTTCTGCAAGTAGGGGAAGGGAGGGAGGGAGGGAGGGGGGGCTGGTGGTGAGCGGTTTTTTTTTCTGCTCCTGCCCTTGCCCCCCCCCTGAGAAACCCAGTGGAACTCTAGCTGTATCCCTGGTAAAGTGCAGCACTCCTGGGCTCCATTCCTAGCCGTTCACTGGGGCAGACATCCCTCACCCCGGTCTGGCCTGCGATCTTCCACTGCTTTAAGTTTTGCTCTTCCTCATTGCTAAAACAGGAAGTAATGATAACTCTGGTCTATATTGAAAAAAATGTGGGTTTTTTTTTTGTATTGCAGTGTGATGGGACTGCGGTGAAGGTGGCGGAGGAGGGGAGTGAGGGAGGGACGTTAATGCTATAAACACACACACGCACGCACGCACGCACGCGCGCGCGCGCACACACGCACACACACACACACACACACACCCGAGGGAAGCCTGCATCACTGACCAAATACACAGTCACTCCACTTCACAATATATTCTGTGACGCGCTTTGAGACGTCTCAAGGACGCGATAAGGCGCTACATCAAATGCTGAGGATTATCATTATTTCTTGCAGTGCGCCAATCGACTGCACCAGCCACACGGCGGGAGCTTTATCATAGCGACTTGTTGTAGCCTCGGCAAAGGAACTGGTTGAGCGTGGAGGCAAACACAGCAGGTCTCTCTGTCTCTGTGGCCACAGCCCAATTCAGCTTCCTTCACAGCTTCCTTCCTCTTTCAGGCACTGCAGTGCAATGTCTGAAAACCTGGTGGTTACATGTTTGACATTGTCAGGGTGGCGCTGGGGCAATTATTAAGCAAAACGAGTGCCGAAAAGTGGGAGGGGGAGAGCGAGGGTGGTGGGTTGGGGGGGGGGGGAAGGGGTGTTGCAAGAAGAAATAATTTGCCCCTTTGGAGAAACTGTGACTCTCTCTGTACGTGGGCCAATCGGCCACGGCAGCTTTATGTAAGCGGTAACCTACAGCAACGCGGTTACAGAATGAGGTGTGAAGTCAAGCCTGGCTTGAGAGCCTTGCACACGAAAAAAAAAAAGAACGCCATTACGCAGAGCTGTGTCTTAAAGGGGCAACGGGCACAGCCGACTCAAGTGACTGTCCGCATCAGCTGGTGTCCAACCTGCACGGACAACCTGGTCTGTGCGAGTTGAAATTCCCCGACGTGTCAAAAAAATCTTTCTGCACACTGGCCCAGGGTCACTGCAAAGGTCATTACAACGGCCTCCTCGACTGCCGCAGAGTTTCCTTTGCCCGAGTGGAATGGACCAAAGGACGGCGTTAGGAAGAACGACTCAAAGCGCTTCACAGGATTTTACTGCAGAGTGTAGTGACTGCGTATTTTGCAGGTGATTTTTTCCCCCGTCCTCACTGTTGCCCACTTGCCTTGTGGTTTCTGGGGTGTAGCTTTCCTCACAGCTGCTGAGTTGTGGGCTGGCGTTCTTCCTGCTGGTTGAATGCATGGTCCAGAACTGAGGTCCCTGAACTCCAAGGTTGGGCTAGATTTGCGGTGGACTTGTGGTGGACCTCTGGGGTAACCTGCGAGAGAGAAACGGTGAACAATTCCACTGATGTCTCCCAGACGCCAGCAATGTTCCTCCATAGACATTGCTTCACCATTCTCCTCCAATGTGTTTCCAACCTGGCCTCGGTCAGTGACACTGTCACCTTCTGGTTCAGAAAGAAGGTGGTTGGTTCCAGCTCAACAGATTATAACAACAACACTCTTTGCATTCATTATTGAGCCTCATCACGTCTTCGAGACATCTCAAAGCGCGTCGTGGGGTATCCTGTAAAGTGAATTGACTGTGTATTTGTGGGTGAAACGCTGCGTACAGCAGTCTCCCACAAAAAAGTTTCTCAAAATCGACCCTCAATTAGGTTCCCCACAGTGGCCTTCGCAAAGTTTTCAAAAATTCAGTCCCAAAACGTAGATTATTTTTTTTTTAGCCTGACTGACCCCAGCGTTTATCACAAGAAAACCACATCGAGTCATTTTGCTCAATTCCCAAATCGCTGTAATGATGGGCTTGGTGCCTTGGGAACTCGCATCCGAAGGAACTTAACAGAATTTAACTGCGTAGGAAAACAAATGTATTCCCAGTTTCCTGGAGCGTTGCGCAGCGAGTTGCTGTGTAGCAAGCGGGTTTTTGCGGGTTTCACTGTCCCCCGTACTCTCACGACCATTTAATTTTTCACTTGCTCAGCACGTAAGAAAGCACAAAGAAACGGAGGAATTTTCGGCACAGATGAGGACTGTTTGACCAGCCTTATCTGTGCCACCGAACCCCCGTTTCTCCTTGAAAAAATATCCCACCTTCCAGTCCCTTTCCCTCTCTCTCGATCCCTTAATGTTTTATTGATCAGGAGGCTTTTCTCCTCACCCATCCATCCATCCATTCTTCAATCGATCAATCCTCGATAGTCACTCGTGTGTCTCCTGACCTTTGCTGTCTCTTAAGAAATGCAAGGATCGTCATAGAAAAGACCTTTATCCATTGGCTTTCAATGAGCATCTCCACAAAGGTGGGGTTGTGAAAGTGACAGCTCCCGTCGACAGAGGTTATCCCTGGACACATGATGGTGAGGAGTCACTCCATCCAGATACGGCCTGAACCCAGTCGAGAGCAATTTTTTTNAAAGCTATTGAGTTGCCAATTCAATATCCAAACCTATAAACGCAGCAGCTTAGCTAACCACCCTGCAATTTTGAACGAAAATAACCTTCAGCCAGAGGAGGTATCACTTTACAGCAGTCAGATCAACGGCCTCCAAACTCAACCACAAACAACTGAGCGTTCTTGAGCTTGGAGAGGGCTCCACTTTCACCGCGGGCTGATGTGCCGGGGCATTGCTGGGGTGGGAAGGGTTGGGAACTTCCCGTTGACAGAGGTGTTTCGATCTTTGGATGAGACATTAAAACCCGAGGTCCTGTCTGCCTGCTCGGGCCCGGGTTAAAGACCTTGTGATGCTATCTGAAAAGTGAAAGGAGTTTTTCCCCGGTGTTCCGGCCAACATTCCCCCAGATACAAAGAAAATTGGCCATTCAAGCAGCGATTGTGGGGACATTGCTGCGCTCAAAATCACTGCCATGTTTCACTGCAATTGACAGTAATTACTGCAAAGTGCTTTGAGATGGTTCGACATCACAAACACTGTGTCAAAGGCAAAGAGAACGGTAGACGTTTATGGCACAGTAGGGGGCCATTTGGCCCATTATATACCTGTCTTATAAATGCGGCACAGCAGCCACAAAATGCACAGTCACTACACTTTGCAATAAAATCCCGTGAAGTGCTTCCAGTCGTCCTCAGCACACGAGAGGTGCCGTGGCAAACGCGCGGGTTAATATTGTGATATTATTGTTATTACTATTATTATTATTATTATTATTATAATAAATGCCACAAAGACGTGTGCGATGTGCAGCGAGCAGGAATCCAGGACACAATGCACGTCACATCGAGCACAGCCCGTCGTCTCCCCGGGGATCGATGCTTCAGTCTGGCTGTCGTCCCACATCACATCAGTCAAGTGGAGTGTGAACTGTCTGGGCATCTGGGCATCCGCTGACAGTCACTGTGCTCAGAGCTCAGTGACTCACTACCTCACACCTCATGGCGAACGCACAATAGGCCATTCCTATTGAGAAGACCCGGCTATCCACTGACTTGGCGTTCGTGAGAATAATAATAATAATAATGTTAATAATAAGCCTTGTCTGCAGGACGTTTTGAAAGGCTTGACGGGGATTACAGTGAAATGGAGTGACTGTGTATTTTGTAGGCAAATGCGGCAGCACAATTCCTCACGGCGACATCCCACACAAACAGCCATGAAACGAGGGACCGGTTTTATTTGGGGCGGAATTGTTGGCCAGGACAGCGGGGGAGAGAGCGAGAGAGAGAGAGAGAGAGAGAGAAACTCCCTTCTCTTTTCGAACAGCGCCACGGGACCTTTAAACGTCCGCCTGAACAGGCTTAACGTCTCATCTGATGGACGGAACCTCCGACAATGCAACACCCACCCCCCCACCACCCAGTGCTCCATCCGAGTGTCTGCTTAGGCTATGTGAGTTCAAGTCCCGACCTGGAGGCTTGAACCCACAACCTTCTGACTCAGAGGTGAGAGCGCTCGCACTGATCCAGGCTGGCGTACAACGGATACTAAGCCGTTCCGGTAGTTTAAAGCAACTTGTCATACTAACCCCCAATCTTAAAGGCTGCCTACCTCGTTGACCACGCTTTCGGTCACCTTTAGCTCAGTCAGTACTATCAAACACGTTGAGAGTTTTTCTGACCCGAACGGCTGATGATGTGTAAATGTTAATTTGTACCGTCTCCGTTTTGACTCCCTAACTGTGATTTATTAGGGGGAAATCGACACTGTAGAGCCCAGGTAAACTCAGGACAGGTTCCTCTACCTGTCCCTACCCTGCCCTGCCAGCGGGGGGAGAGGAATTAGATCATATCTGATCTCATCCTTCCCGAATCTCCACCTGAACAGGCACAGACAGCACCTCGGTTGAACGTCTCACCTGAAGGAATGTACCGCCAACCATACCATTCTTCCCCACCCCCTCCCCTCTAGCCTTGCCTTGGGAGCGTCAGCCTAGACTGGGAGCTCAAAGTCCCCGATGTGTGGGACGTGAACCCACCATCTTCTGACCCAGTTGCCAGAGCAAAGAAAAATATGAACGAGAGAGAGAGAGAGAGAGAGACAGAGAGCACACTCGCGCGCGGGCGCGCGTGTGTGTGTGTGTGTGTGAGAGAGAGTGTGAACGAGACACGGCGAGAGCGTGTGTGCGTGTGTGAGAGTGTGTGTGAGAGAGAGAGAGAGAGAGAGACAGAGACAGAAAGGGAGAGATCTAATTTGAAAAGAGGCAAACAGACTACTTAAAATCGGACCGAGACCAAATAAGCGCATTTGTAAAGATTTACAGAGCAATAATGAGCACAGATCAACACTTCAACATTACTCTAACGGCAGGGGCAGTACATTAGTGCTGTGTAATCGTCTCCCTTGCCTGGCTCGGGCACCACACCTGGGGATCAGGAGTCATCTTATTACACACACTCGATCACCAGAGATCACTCAACATGTCACCCTCCAGCACAGTGCGTCTCGCGCAGGCAGATACCAAGGTTACTGCACATCAGACCTCCTTACTCTGTCACACCGCCCTCACCACACACTGTCAAATAACCCCCACGCACGCAACCCCCAATGAACGCTGTCACGCTGCCCACCCCCACCCCAGCCCCCAACGCAGAAACCTGACCTCTGCCTCCAGACGGGGTGGGGGGGATTTTTTTTTCAGATCGAATCAAAGCGTGGCAAGTGTGTTGGGATTATGCGGCAGGATTAGCCGGTGTCAATCTATCTCGTGCCCTATAGTGTGCGCGACACTGATTGCAACTGTATCCTCCAGGAGGGTTTTAAATCCCAAACTACTGCACGAGCGAGTGGATTTAAGATGGGGAATCCGGTTAACTTTACAGCTAAATCCTGCTCGACGGATGAGCTTTGATCTCGAAAGAATTTACATAGAACTGACATAAATATATACAGCGCTGTCCAGAAGCTTTCCCTCTGTGGCACTAACGATGACTGAGCCTTCAGACATTTTGACCCCAACCACTCCCTCCCCTCCCGTCCCCCACCCCCCGCTGTTCCCCCAAATTCCCACCGTCTTGCGCTTTCTCTGTCTACAAAACCTTCCTGGAAGCCTCTCCCTTTGACTGTGCTTTCGCGCCCCCACTCTGCCCCCAGCCCCCGCCCGTGGATCAGCGATCCGCACATTGCACCCACAAAATATACGGTCACTACACTTTACAGTATACTCTGCGAAGCTCTTTGAGATGTCTCAACGATGTGATAAGGCGCTAAATCAAAAGCAAGGGTTATCATTACTTTAATATTGATTTGAGTTATCACCTTCAGAGTTCAACCTTATCATTATGTGACTTCCTCGCACTCGATCACTGACAGAGGAACTTTGATCACCTCCGTGACAAAATAGACGGTCAATTCATTTCACAGTATATCCCGTGAAGCGCTTTGAGACGTCTCGAAGACGTGATCAGGCGCTGTATCAAATGCGAGGCTTATTATTATTATTAAAATACTGCACTGGATTGTCGAAGGCAAGACGCCCACTCGGGCGAGGGACAAACTGTGCTCGTAACAATCCTCATTAAAATTAAATTGCGCAGCTCACTGGTGCACAACACTTTTTTTTATATATATCTACTGCAGCTTCTTCTCAGCAGGACTTCGTAATCCAATGGGGATTTAGGCGATTGTGATTCATCGCATCTCTAGCAATTGAGAAATTTGCCAAGTAACATAATAATAATATTAATAATAATAATAGTTCTCGCAAGTAACGGGAATAACTAACTCAACCTCCTTCTCTCTTTCCCAAACCCTTCTCCATTCCCGGCGATGGTCTCTCAGCCAAGGTGTGGGGAGGGCTGAGGGGCGTCTGTCTGCGTCACTCTAGTTAGTAGGGCTGGAGTGAGCCAACAAGTAGTCAT